TTACTCGAGAGGGGGCGTTCCGGAGCGATTGTGTCAATTGCCCTGGTCAAATCACTGTCCCAGCGAGAGACCAGAGCATCGACAGTGTCGCTAGCCAAGGAGGTGGAAAAATCCCCAAGAGCCGTCAGAAAACCATTTGGATCCATAAGTCTCCTGGGGCGGACCATTCTAATGGGTCCACCACCCCTGCGGAGGTTAGAAGGCACAGTTAGTCTAAATCTGATCAGGTGGTGATTGGTCCATGGCAATGGAGCGATGGTCAGCTCCTCCACCCCAAACATTACATAAAAATGTAATGTTTGTTTGTGGGATTAACTTAACTCAAAAACCACTGGACGAATGACACCAAATTTGGACACAAGATACCTATCAGGCCAGCGAGTGACCTTCACTCATAAAAAACACTGAAAAACACAGCAAAAGGGGCTTTAAAAAGCAAAAAAATATAAAAATACATTACAACGCATGCACAAAACCACATATATACGCAAACACACATATACACATACACACACACACACACACAAAACATATATACACAGACTGGGCCACAGCAATGTGTGGCTGGGGATGGCCAGTTCAAATCAGAACTTTAAACTGGTCTTAACAAGTCTAAAGTCAATGTGGTTGCTTTACAACTGGACATACGTGCAAAAAATCATTATAGATATTACTTCCAATGAAAAACCAGCTCCTCTTTTAAAAAGAAATTCACTTTGGTCACAACCAGTTGGGGGATTTTTCACAAAATAGTGACTCTATCCAAAATTCACATGGTCTTTTGTGATATATCTTGCAAATCAAGCTCTTGTTTGTATACATCTTAAAACAAATACTGTATGTCAGCATACAGGCCAGCTTATGAAAATATATCTAGCAGAGTACAGAATGTGCAGAGATGTACATCAGAGGTAAAACTAAACTGGCATTATGTGCTGGCCTAGAAAATGCACCTAGACTCCTTGTTCTCTCCTGCGCTGCTTCGAGCTGAGATCCTGCTTTGGCAGGTGGGATCTGAGCAGATGTCAGTGCCCGTTGTGTGCCATGCTGCTGGCTTGAGGCCTGCTGGAGCTGCCCCCTCCTGCCCTGCTGACACCCCAGAGCTTGAACCCTCTGTGCAGCTTCTGCTCTAAAGCCTTTGTGTGTGTGTGTGTGGTGTGTCTGCCCTTTAGGTTTGATTTTGAGGGTCTGGAAAGTGGCGAGGATGGACCACTAGAGAAGCTGAAATCCTGGAGCAGGTCCATAGAGGATCTGCAGCACCCCAGTACCCTGTCTGCTCCCTACGCCAACAGCCTTGCTCGCTCAGCACGTCAGTCGGCCTTCCGGTATGTATCTGTCCAGCTGTGTTCTCCTTTCTGGATGTGCTATTGGTTGTAGTAATAATCCTTCCCACCACTCCTGCTTTCTGTCCTCCAGATGCTGCTGCAGTGTGCTGATCTCTTCTCCTCGCTAGTACTATTCCCTCTTTGAGGCTCTTCTGATGCTGGCTGGCCATGTCTCCTCTCCTCACCAGGCCTTGCTCTCTTGCCATGCTCTGTTTTGCCTCCCTTTGCTGGGTTTCCCGTTCTTTCTCTCTTTCTCTGTCCTTGTCACTTGGGTAAGTATGTCTTGTTGTGTAGTGAATGGTGTACTCTCCTAGGCTAGGGTGAGAGGCCTCTGCCCATGAAATGGTGGTTGGGAGGGCTTTCAGGAAACACATCAAGCACTGGATGGGGGATGGAGGCAAGCAGATGGTCAAAACAGGCCAGTACTGATTCCATAGCGTAAGGGCAGCTAGACCTGAATTGAATGGCCCCGAGTCTGGCCACAGTCAGCTAGTTTTATGAGACCAAGAAGAATGAGGTTTACAGGGTTCTTCTATCATGTGGCTCTTTCTGATAGGAGCTGATTTTTCTGGCAAACTGTCAAAATGGCACAAGATGGAAAATTACCAGGTTTCACTAGAAGCTGACATCTTCCATGGTAGTAGGGGTGGTGAATCTGAGCTAGGTTCTAGTTTTTGGGTTTTTGACATCTTGTCAAAACCTAAAAAGGAACTGTACAGAGTGATGAACCTTGCCCCCCAATGGGCCCACACCCAAAGCAAATTTACTGATCATGAACGTGGGAGTTGCTTTTAGGCTCCTAGCACTAGACAGCCAAGGGCTTGGAAAAATACCGTTGTTGGACTAAAACTCCAGGGATCTCCCCAATCCGTTAGGTAGCAGCAGTGCAGAAGATTATCAGAGTGCAGTCCAAAAAAGTTAGATCAGAAGAGTAGAGGGTTGGGGAGGGCTTTTTTGAAAGTTAATCATTTATTTTGATGGTAGAATTAGTTTAGCATTTCTAAAATAAAATAAAAGGAATCTCATCTTTGAATTTTCTGTGCATATTCTCAAGGTCCAGGAGCTGAACTCTCTTTTCTCTGTCTGGTCTCTGAGTCTTTCACCTCTCACATACCTGTGTCATTCTAGAGATATTAAACAACAAACCTTTCTTTTTTACTTTCCTCTGGAAAATAATGTTTTATTCTCAGGTGGGGTGATTTTTTCACCAATTAGAGTCTTTTTTTCAAACTTTTTAAACATTTGCTTTTGTTCTAGTTTTAACAAATGAAAACTTGTTTTCGTGTCAGGAGCGACTTGAGAAACTGCAAGTCACTTCTGGTGTGAGAGCATTGGCCATCTGCAAGGACATTGCCCAGGGGACACCTGGATGTTTGATGTTTTACCATCCTTGTGGGAGGCTTCTCTCATGTCCCCACATGAGGAGCTGGAGCTGACAGAGAGAACTCAACCCACTCTCTCCAGATTCGAACCACTGATCTTTCGGTCAGCAGTCCTGCCGGCACAAGGGTTTAATCCATTGGGCCACCAAAGCTGAATAAGGATATCTCTATGTCCATGTTTTGACAGCTTAAAAAAACCTTCACAATAACTGTGGCTCTTGGAAGTTACTCTAAAAATTGACAACTTCATCTCACATAGCCTTTCTTCATTTTCTCTCCATTTTAACATGCTGGCAAAACAGAGTCCCATGGAGGACATCCTATGATGCATGACGACTTCCAGTGGCTGCCCACAGGAATCCATCTTGCCAGCATGTTAAGACGGAAAGCGGTCAGGTGCTACCTGACTCAGTAAAATGAGGAGAATGTGGGGTAAGTCTAGGAAAGAACGGGTGATGGCCAGGTATCCCAAAAGACAAGGAAAAACGGTAGGAAACAAATTTAGACGATTGTCCTGCTTTCCAATTATAAATGTGAGGAGGTCCTGAGTTGATTTGAGAGTGCTTTATTTGTTTATTTATTTATTTGTGGTATTTGTAAACTGCCCTTCTCAACCCCGAAGGGGACTCAGGGCAATTCACAGCAAAGCTTTCAGGTGACGCTTTTATTGTCCATCAGACAGCTTTCATTTGTAATTTACCTTTATTTTCTCCTGTTTTCATCTATTTTTTTTCATTAAGGAGGCAAAATGCACTAAGGAAGGAAATGCAGGCCAACTAAACAACATTTTTCTTATTAGTAGCACTAGCAATCCTAGCGTTTCAAAAAAGGAGAGTCCAAATGCTTTGCCATCTTCCTTTTGCCAAACAGCCATGCCGATCTTGGGCAAATCCTTTGCCAGAAGCCATTGACTCTAATTACAACCCTCTTTGCTTGTTCTTAGCTGTGCCTGTGACCTCATCCCTGACAGAGGGCATAATTCCTGTTGGGCCTTTGCTTCTGCCTATTGCTAAATGTAGGGATCTCCTTTTTGCCAGATACACCACCCTTCCCAGCAGGAAAGCCCTGAAGAACTCGCGGCTGGTGAGTCAGAAGGATGACGTCCACGTTTGCATCCTGTGCTTACGGGCCATCATGAATTACCAGGTAAAGCCATGCTGGCGGTTTGTCTGAACGTCTGAAGGCCTTTGCTTACGATCAGGGATGATGCCAGTTAAACCCAAACCTAACAATTCAGGACAGATTCTCCCATTGTCAAATGGGAGTGCCACAACAAAGGACGCAATGTGGAGGAATGGAATGGTTTCCCATTGGCAAGAAGGCTGCAATTTATCACCCAGTCTGTGTAATTTATATTTAGAACACATCATACAGGAAATAGGATCAGAATCAGAGGGAACAGGCTTGAAAATTGGGAGAAGGAACATGAACAATTTTGAGAAATACAGATGAAACCATGCTACTTAGTAGAAATTGCAAAGATTTGGAACGAATACTTACAAAAACTAATAAATAAACAAAGTAATGTTATGACCACAGATAAATAGAATCAATTCAATGTGGATAATTAAGGCATTGAACTATTTAAGGATTTCACATATATTTACTCAATTAAACAAAATGAAAACTTCAGTCAAGAAATCCACAAACTGCTAAGACTTGGGAGGGCAGCCACAAATGAACTAGATAAGGTCCTCAAACATAAAGTTATGTAAATTTATGTTGTCATTGTTTTATATGCTTATGTAGTATGCATTTTATGTGCGCAGCACTTTGGAGTGCTTTTGTGAGCTGCCCCAAGTCCCTTTGGGGAGATGGTGGCGTGATATAACTAAAGTTTTATAAAGACATAACGTTAAATACTAAAGTCAGAATTATCCAGGCCCTAGTTTTACCAGTTTGTGTGTGTGTGTGAAAGCTGGATGGCTAACTTGTATTTTAACTTTATGTATCTTGTTGTGTGTATTTTGATTGTGTTTTATCTCTTGTTTTAATGATGTTGTTTCTTGCCTCAAACCGCAGGGAGAGCCAGATAATTATTTTATTATTGTTGTTGTTGTTAAGAAATCCAAGGGAAACAAAATAAGCTCATGTGAAATGTAGTGCTGCAGAAAAATTCTGTGGATACTGTGGACTGCTAAAAAAAAAAGGACAAATGAATGGTTCTTAGAGCAAATCAAGTTTGCTTTTCTCAGAAGAAGCAAAAATTCCTAAAGTGAGGCTGATGTACTTTTTGGCATGTCATGGAGTGACATGATTCATTGGAAAAGGCAGTAATACTGGGTAAAGTGGAAAGCAGTTTGGGGGGGATAGAAAGGTAACATTACAAGTGGATTGATTCAATCAAGACAACCACAATTCTGAGTTTGTAAGATTAGAGAAGGGCAGTTCATAGCTGGAATTCCTGGAGGTTTCTCATAAGCTAAAGTCAATTTCATGCCAAATAACAATGACGGTATAGGCATTGGAGGACATCAGAGATTTTTTTTTCATGTCAGGAGCAACTTGAGAAACTGCAAGTTGCTTCTGGTGTGAGAGAATTGGCCATCTGCAAGGATGTTGCCCAGGGGCCACCTGGATGTTTTTGATGTTTTACCATCCTTATAGGAGGCTTCTCTTATGTCCCTGCATGGGGAGCTGGAGCTGACAGAGAGAGCTCATCCATGCTCTCCCAGATTCGAACTTCCAACCTGTTGGTCTTCAGTCCTGCCGGCACAAAGGTTTAACCCAGTGGTTCTCAACCTGTGGGTCCCCAGATGATTTGGCCTTCAAAACCCAGAAATCCTAACATCTGGTAAACTGGCTGGGATTTCTTGGTGTTGTGGGCCAAAACACCTGGGCACCCACAGGTTGAGAACCACTGGTTGAACCCATTGCACCACACAGAGATAGTGATTGGTCATTTGAATCATCCCTTAGAGCAGTAATTCTCAACCTATGGGTCCCCAGATGTTTTGGACTTCAACTCCCAGGAATCCTAACAGCTGGTACACTGGCTGGGATTTCTTGGAGTTGTGGGCCAAAACATCTGGGCACCTACAGTTTGAGAATCACTGCCTTAGAGCCTTCATGACATCCATGAAATCTTGAAATTACCTTTTTTAATATAGCATTTTCAGAATGATATTTTAAGATACTGCAGGAGATGCAAAAGAGCCTCTTTTTAGCGATGCCGTTAGTGCATTACATTCACATTATTCTACAAAACTTCAAATTAAACAATTTTGAGAGGGGTAGTGGTAGTGCATTGCAAACAGATTCTCCACTGTTTGATCTGATTCTGTTTCTACAGCGTTTGTAACGACATTTCTCTTCATTTGCTTGCTTGTTTGCTTCTATGTTGCCCATTGTTCACTATGCTTTTATTTCATAAATCTTTGCCCTGTTAATATGTAAAGCTCTGCCTTGTTTATTTGTAAATATCTTGTGTTCTGTTAAATCAGTGAGCTGAGAGATTTTGCTGGAACCTCTTTACCCTTTTCCATTTCAGTATGGATTCAATCTGGTCATGTCACATCCTCACGCTGTTAATGAGATTGCTCTCAGCTTGAATAACAAGAACCCCAGGTAAGTTGGCTTGGTATTTAGAGTAGTTCAACAGAAATGTGGTTTGCTGGATCTGTATTGATGGACTGCTGGAGATCTCACAGCACCGCTCTTAAGATATTGTTACAGACTGGATCCCAACTGTATTACAAATTTAACCCTATTCAAGACTCCTTGACTATTATTAGTCTTCTCCTACACAAAGATTACTGATAATTGGGGCTAGGAATGAATAACGAAAAAGTCCCAACACTCTTACAAAAATATAGTTTCCATGGTTTTTGTATGAGGAAGCCAAACAGCTGTATACTCCTGATTAGGTAAACTGAAAGCGACTTGAGGGAGCATCATCTTCTATGGCGTAAATGGTCATTTCCTTTTTTGCCACTGTTGCTTCTGGTTGAACAGGTTTGGCAGATTTTTCAAACACCTGCAAAACTTGTACAGTTATGGTGAAAGTAGGATGAGTTTACACCTTATACTAAATGATGGCTTGTTTCCAGCTAGTGAAACAATTTCAAACAAGCTTTAATTTGTAGAACAGATGTTTGTTTGGGCAGGTTCCTCCTATTTCCTCCCATTGTTTGGCCTAGCTGAAATCTTTGTGTAATAGAGTCAGAAATATTGCCTGGCTCATGAGGTTGGCATAAAAGGCATTGATCAGCCATGATGCCCAAGCCTGTCATTGCCAAGTTAGTATTTTACATCTTTGGCTATAAATAATAATTGGGTCACTAGCACTTGGCTCTAAATGAAAACTGAAACAAAAATAAGCACATTACTGAGCCATTTCCCCAGGGTCTTTTGGTATGCTTTCCAAAAAAAATGTTTACCATGTGAATGTCAAAATTCAACTTCTCTGCATCTCAGAATATATTTCTTCTTCTTTCAGAGCTATTCTTGATTTATACATTGCTATTGCCTTCCTTCAGGGTCAGGATATTAATTCAGCATTTCAGAACTCCACACATATTAGCAGACTGAATCTTTTTTGAATCACATATTTTGACATTCTATATTCAGCAGAATTTTGGGAAGTTGCTTTTTTCCAAGTATAGTTCCCAGGACATGCCAGCCTTTTTCCACCTATCGTTCCCAGAATTCTGTAATCAACAGGGTAGAGTATTCTTTTTGATTGGTGAATTCTGAAAGATGAAGTCCAAAAGACACAGTGCTTTTAAATTCTGTCATTGACCATTAACCAAACGGATGACTCTGGTTGTTTCTAAGGATCTTACGTTGTCTTGCCTTTGCATCTGATAATAGGAGATAAACTTCCTCTGTACATGGAGGGTCCATTTGTTTATCCTGCCAAAGAACTGTTTGATAAACTAATTCGAAATACGCACATACCTAAACTAGAGGACATCATTGCTTAGATCAGAGCTGGGCAACTGGGGTGGGGGAGGTGAGGAATGTTACCCCCCCATAGGAGATCATAAGGGACGGTGCCCCTTACAGTGAGTGTACTCACTGTAATATCTATCTATCTATCTATCTATCTATCTATCTATCTATCTATCTATCTATCTATCTATCTATCTATCTCCCAAATGTGCTGTAGAGGCTGTGAGAGGCATTTTTATGTTTTTATATTCTCCTGTGCCAGGAGAGGGCTTTTTTTTTTTCAAAATAGGAAGAGACCAAAATACCTTCTAGTTTACTCATGATATTTCAAAAAGTTATTCCTGGGCCAAAAAAAAGCCCAGATAACCCCTAAATGTAGTGAAAATGCCCCACCCTCCACTAGGACACAATTGGGAGCAAAACTTTCTTTTAAAAATACAATGTTAAAAAGGGGTTTTTGGCAGTCCTGGTGGCCAGAAAAACAGCCCTGGGAACTGCATGTGGTTCATGGGCCACAATTTGACTTCTCCAATCTAGACCTTAGAAAGGATACACCTTTAGATTAGCATGGTCACTGTTCTGAAAGGTGTGGTCTAAAGAAGTAACTTTTCCAAGTACTGCCATAATTTCAATGATCCTATGTAGTATCTATAATTTCTTACTGTGTTGTACTCAGCCTTGAGGTATAAGGAGAGGGGAAATAAACAAAACAAACCAACAAATCGTATTCATGATCACGTGTTGTGATAGTAAATTCCACAAGTAAACGATAGGGAACCTGAACTTTCCAAAGACTATTGAATGCCAATTTCCATTAATGATGTGAGGTTCCTCCTGGCATTTAGTGTGATCTCCCACCTGTAACTATAAACATAATTAAAAAGCTACAGGTGACTTCAGAAAAAGTGGAATTATCTTTGTTAAATTACACTTGAGTGTAATTTAGTTATTTTGGCTTAACCACAAGTAACTAGTAGTTTGTGTCTAGTTATTTGTAAGTATGCCTTTTTTCTGTAGCTGTTGCAATAATGGAGAGTATCTGCATCGCCAGTATCACAATTGCACTTTCTGGTTGATGTATCTTTATTTTTCTCTTTTCCTGTTCTCTCAGGACAAAAGCCCTGGTGTTAGAACTGCTGGCAGCTGTCTGTTTGGTGCGGGGGGGCCATGAGATTATTTTGGCTGCCTTTGAGAACTTCAAGGAGGTGAGGCCTATCATAACACAAGTGTCCTTTGTGTACTGGCATGAGTTATCCAACATGAAGAAAAGGAGTTTGGGGTAAATGTACGAGTGCACATGGAAATGAATACATTAGTCAGATACATATGGATAATACTGGATACTTGTTAAATTTTTCTGGTTGTACAGATTAAGCATCCCCCAAATTGATTTCTGAACTCCAGTATCTTCAAACTTCAGATTGTCCACATAAGTGACTGAGACAGTGACACCTGGGTGTTGCATGAATGAGGGGGAACTTAGTCTAAAGCTATGAGCCCAGGAATAGGTAGAGTAGTGGTTTTCAACCTGTGAGTCCCCAGATGTTTTAACCCTCAACTCCCAGAAATCCTAACACTTGGTAAACTGGCTGGGATTTCTGGGAGTTGTAGGCCAAAACACCTGGGGACACACAGTTTGAGAACCACTGAGGTAGAGAGAGGGAAATTGTTACGTTACATAAATCTATGCCTGGCTTTGGGGCACAAATGCCCAAAGTCAGATCCAATGAGTTAATCTCACCCTGCCCATCTATGCCTAGGTTTAAGCTATATCACCAGTCTGTCATGTGGTTTGGTATAGTTTACCAGAAACTTTGAAAGGATACATTTTGGCAATCCAACACCCAGAATCCTAGGATTCCCAATCACATGACTGATATATCCATGCAGCTTCCCAAAATGTTGGAAGACATGCAACTGGTGACCCACTTCTTTCCTGTCTTAACGTGCTCCATATTCTTGCTGTCCTTCACTAGTGATGAAGACTGATTATCCAAGGCATGCCTATGTGTATCTCGCCTTCTAAAGCAGTGGTTTTCAACTGTGGTTCCTCAGATGTTTTGGCCTTCTACTCCCAGAAATCCTAACAGCTGGTAAACTGGCTGGGATTTCTGGGAATTGTAGGGCAAAACACCTGGGGACCCACAGGTTGAGAATCACTGTCCTAAGGTTTCGGGCAAGTGATTAGCAAATAGATGCCCTCCATTATGCATCTCCCTCCTTGAGCCCAGTTACCGTTACACGTTTTTTAAGGTTCCTGTCAAAGTTTGTCTATGTCTGGGTTTTAATGGTATCCAGTTGGGCTTTTTAAAGTAAAAAGGTGAAAATAAAGATATAATGCAAGTGGGCACCAAGTGTACCAGTTGGGCTGGAGGTGGGGAATAAAGTGTGTTTGGGAGGAAGGAGCCAGAATCAGGTCCATCTACTCATTCTTGTTGAAAGGACAGCTGATGGTGGTCCTGTCCTCCCTGAATGGACATGCAAGACTAGACCAAGGAAGTGATAATGGGGACAAGTCTGAGAAAGTATTTGAGAGAGGGAGAAAGAGTAGCTATGTGGAGGAGTACTTAAGGAGGTATTTGGAAAGCCAGCATACCAGGCACAGCCTGTAGTTGCATGGTTTGCTAACACTGAAGCACTTATAAGACCCTGGAATGATTTCTCCTTCTCAGGTATGCAAAGAGCAACACCGCTTCGAGAAACTAATGGAGTATTTCCGCAATGAAGATAGCAATATTGACTTTATGGTAAGCAGCGAATTCTGGTGTCTGTGTTACATGAAAACCCAAGTTGGCATTTCCCATTGACTTTGTTTATACCAGCAGCTCCCACCATGCAACAATGTGTAGAAAGAGGACTCTGGATTACTACAAATGCTGCACCTACTAAGTCCAAGATGAGTGGTATGCCTTGCAGTAAAGTAGTACAGATCATGTCCTAAGCCGTGCTATAACTACCAACCCTTGACTTGACCTCTATTCAAATCCCTCCTTTGCCCCAAGACTAGACACAGGGCAGCTTCCATATTAAAATATTGCAATTAAAGCATATGAAAGTTGACATTAAACCTGAATTAAACTATTCACCATATTAAAATAATGCAATTTAAAACAATGCAGTCCTTCCAGCCATTTGCTTAAAGCTCCAGTCCTACAACCCTGACTAAATTACAAAAATATAAACACACACATTGAGTTCAGGAAAGGGAGCTCAGAATCTATATTACATTCATATATCTATGCACATACATATGGTTGGTAGACCCTCATGATGCTGGAAATTTTCCCTGGTTTTGTCATCATGGGATAAAGGAACTATGTGGGCATTTTGAGATAATAGGAAGGGAAGAATTTGTTTAAACCTGGCCTTTTAACCCTGAGGCCCTCTGGGTGCTTTGGACTTCGGCTCCCAGAATTCCTGTCCACTGAACAAGCTGGATAGGGCTTCTGGGAGTTGGAGATGCCTGGTTTAAACCAAGGGAGTACTGCAACCACTCTTCCAGAAAAGCAAAAGATATCTGAATGCTGAACTCAACAGGCTGAAGGAGTGGTAGACTTTGGCTGAAGCCTCTCTGTCTGTCCATGGGTATATGTTTGCCTCAGAATAAAAGCATGGGCAGAGTGGCTGCAGGAAATCTAAATATATTCATTGACCTCAACTTGAAAAACTTGCTTAGGATATGTTTCATTCATACATACACACCTCTCAAGAGGACGGGAGGCGAGTCTCCATTGTTTCTCAGCCAGGAAAGTTGCTAGTCACCCAATCAACCTCTATTTATCTAAGTTTTGATCATGGTAACAACCACACCCCAGAGCCTAGGCTCATCTACATTGGCCACTGCCAGTCTGAATCACTGCATATATTAATATAGGGCATTGAGTTGTTGCCTCTGGGGTTGAGTAAGGCAGGATATAAATGAGATAAATAAATAAATACTCCAGACTGACCCCAGATGTGGCCATACAGTCTGTGCCTAACCCGCAGTGGGGCAGAGGTGTCAAAATTGTGGCTCTCCAGATGCTTTGCACTCCAGCCCCTAGAAGCTCTAGTCAGCTTATCCAATGGCCAGGAATTCTGGAAGCTGAAGTCCAAAACATGTGGAGGGCCACAAGTCCGGCACCACTGGTCTTCATGGCCCAGTTAAATCAAAACTGATTTGGCTCTGTTGGGTTGTCGCCTTATTTCCTGTCGCCGATGCCAAATGATTGCCAATCTCCAGGATTGCTCCAGCCTTCCAGGAACCCTGTGCTGATATCACCCTATGCAGAAACTTACTGGCAGTGCCTGGCGTGCAGACACAAAATTAATAAGAACATCATCCCTGGCCTTGTTTTATTCAACTGCTGAGTATGCCTGCCCTGTTTGGGAAAGGTCTGCCCATGTGAAGCAGGTGAATATAGCACTGAACAAAGAATGAAGAATAATCACATGATGCCTCAAACATACACCTGTTGATAGACTCTATTAGCTAGCTAGCATTGCCCCCCCCCCCCCAGGTTTCTGCCAACTGTGTGAGAAATAAGGTGTGAACAGTGTGAAAGCCACCCACTATATGGCTGTCAGCCTCCTCCCAGTAGACTCAAATCAACGAGAAGTATCATGAGAACCATCACTCCTTTTAATGTTTCCCCAGCAACAGCAAGAGTGTTCCTCTGGACAGTTAAACCAGGAAATCCCAATTGGATGGCCCCCCCACAAGGGTCTTCCTCCAAGGGCAAACCAAAAATGAGTGACTTGTTAGCCCCTGAACAGACTCAGAAGTGCAGTGGGCAGATCAAAAGACAACCTGCCAAAATGACACTACCTAGAAGAATTCTCCACTTTGTGTGACTGTGGAGCAGAACAAAAAGCTCTGCACTTGTATGCTTGCCCACAATGCCCTGCCTCACACACAGAGGAAGAACTGTTTAAAGCTACAGATAATGTGGTCGCTGTTGCCCATTTTTGGTCTTAAATTATTTAGCCACTTGTGTTCCTTCTATTTTATTGGTTTTATACTTGTTTATTTATGCAATGCTTTTGACACAAAAGCACAGATGCCATCACAACCAGGGAGAAAGGGGAAAGGGGGATATAGTGGTGGCCCATGTGGACAGTGGGTAGTCCTTATCAGAGCTGGTTTTGCTGTCCACACTATTCTCAAACTGCGGGGTTTCGCCATATATTTGCCCAAACTCTGAAGCATTCCCTGACTTTCCTTAGCATGGGGCTAAACCAGTTTACCTATTTTACCCAACAATAAGAACCAGAAGTGCCTGGCCATTATGTAGACATCCAGGAACAACTTCTCAGCCACTTTGGGTTTGAGGACTTGTGTAAGCAATCCCGCATAGCCTGGGCCTGTGTCACCCCTGGGAGTGACTGCTTATCATTTCCCTCTGGTTATCACTCTGTTGTTTCAGAGTAGTATTGTGGCAGTTTTGTGAACATGCCACTGCAGACAAGTGGCCAATTAAATGATTTGCCATATTCCAGGTCAAGCTGTAGTTCTGCTTAGGGGAAGCCTGTCCTTGAACTTCCAGATCTTGTTGAACTCTCTTTTTGAAATCAAAACTAGCAGCATATTTTAGCTTGGAGCTCTTACTCAGTATGTGAAACTATAAAGAAATACTTTAGCCTTTGGAATGGAAAACCCCATATGAAACTGGGGGACCACTGAAACATGTGATCCTGGGGAAGGGAGCATGGCCGTCTGGGGAACTCAAGGAGATCATTGCTAGGCCCAGATTTGGTCTCAGTTTCTCCACTGCTGGTCTAGATGAAGCTACAGGAAAATAACAGATTGCATTAAGCTGTAAAAATCCTAACTTGGGTCCACCTCCACTTTTTCAGGTAGCCTGTATGCAGTTCATCAACATTGTGGTGCACTCGGTTGAGGACATGAACTTCCGGGTTCACCTGCAGTATGAGTTCACCAAGCTTGGTCTGGAAGAGTTCTTACAGGTAACATCCCTGCTTTTCATAAAGTCATGTTTAGACTGAAGAAGAGAAGGCTGAGAGGGGACATGATGAGGGCCATGTATGAATATGTGAGAGAAAGTCATAGGGAGGAGGGAGCAAGCTTGTTTTCTGCTGCCCGGGAGACTAGGATGCAGAACAAAGGCTTCAAACTACAGGGAAGGAGATTCCACCTGAACATGAGTAAGAACTTTCTGACTGTGAGAACTGTTTAGCAGTGGAACTCTCTGCCCAAGAGTGTGGTGGAGGCTCCTTCTTTTTAAGGCATTTAAGCAGAGGTTGGATGGCCATATCTCAGGGGTGCTTTGAATGCGATTTTCCTGCTTCTTGGCAGGGGGCTGGATTTGATGGCCCACGAGGTCTCTTCCAATTCTATGATTTTATGATTCACTCTCCTTCAGAGGGCATTTAAATGTCAGCTGACAGCTGTATAAGTTCAGAGGCCAAGGATAGCAGATCATATTTCTGTCCTGAAATTAAATTATGTATATTGGAACTTAAAACACAGACTGGGCCCGAAATAACCAAGTATTAGCAGGAAAGAACACCAGCCTATGCTTTCAGTAGAGTTTGTCTTGGTTTGAGGTGGAGCCCCCGGTGGCGCAGTGGTTTAAACCCCTGTGCCGGCAGGACTGAAGACTGACAGGTCGCAGGTTCGAATCCGAGGAGAGGCGGATGAGCTCCCTCTATCAACTCCAGCTCCTCATGCGGGGACATGAGAGAAGCCTCCCACAAGGATGATAAAACGTCCTTGCAGACGGTCAATTCTCTCACACCAGAAGCAACTTGCAGTTTCTCAAGTCGCTCCTGACACGACAAAAAAAAGGTGAATAGTGGTGCATAGATGCATGTGTTTGTGCCTTTGTATACATGAAAGATTGACAGAGATAGGATAGAACAGACAAGGAGTATAATATGCTGTGACTTGAGAACAGCCTTACCTTTTTTGAGAAAATGCAGATGTAATCTTGGGCACATCTGCACTGTAAAATTAATGAAGTTTGATGCCATTTGACCTGTCAAGACTCAATGCTATGGAATCATGAGAGTTGTAGTTGTCTTACCGTGTGAGGCATGCCTTCTTAATCCATGTTTAAAAACGGAGTGCTCTATGATACTTGAAAGACTTACTAATGTATCATGTCTTGAATTTTCCTAGACCAGAGTTCAGTCCACCAAAACCAGCTGAATTTGCACACAGTTTTGTAAAGCTAATGAAATGCCAACTTGCAGTTTTCTGAAAACTTTCTCTTTTCAAAAAAACAAAAGGAAAAGTTCTTCCATTGCTGATTACACAATTTCCCCGTGCTAGGGGAAATTTCACTCGCTCTGCAAGCATGTCCTCATGACTATGACTTCAGCTGGGAAAACAGACAACTATTATTTGCTTTTGTTTTAACCAGAAGTCTTTTTTTAATGGATGGAGTTCTGCCTATGATATGTGTGCCTGTTCCATTTTTTAGCTCTGGTTAAATAGGTTTCAGTTATTACTGACTGTTCCCATCTTTTGAGTTGCCAAGTTCCTCCTTTTCAGTTTGTCTGTAATATCTGCCAAGCTGTTAAACATGCCTTTATCATCTCATTGGATAGAGAGGGCTGTGGTTAGTACAAATCTTCCAGTGAAGGGCTGTGATTTCTTAGTCCAGTGAAACCCGTCCACAGGAAATGACTGAATCAAAATCTGTTGTCTGTTTGTTCCTGGGAAAGAAGGGCAAATGATTACCGTATATACTCAAGTATAAGCTGGGTTTTTCAGCCCATTTTTAAAGGCTGAAAAAGCACCCCTCGGCTTATACTTGAGTCAAAGTTATGTATTATTTTCCTCTGCTGCTGCTGTTGTTGTTGTTATTATTACATTTATTATTTAAATCTATTTCTTTTTATTATTATTACATTTACTGTACATTATTTTACTCAATTGTTATTTTTATTACATTTATTATTTTATTCTATTTTTATTATTGCATTTATTTTAGTCTATTATTATTGTTATTATTACATTTATTATTTTACTCTATTTATTATTATTGGAAGGATACGTAAGCATATTTGCATTGAAGCAGGTTAGAATAATGGTTTAGTCAGACTTGGACAGTCTTATCTTAAATTACAGTTTTATGTAAATATTCAAAAACACTTAACCTACTGATGCCTCAGTTAATGTAATTTTATCGATATTTATTTTTATTTTGAAATTTACCAGTAGCTGCTGCATTTCCCACCCTCAGCTTATACTCGAGTCAATATGTTTCCCCAGTTTTTGGGGTAAAATTAGGTGTCTCGGCTTATATTCGGGTCAGCTTATACTCGGGTATCTACGACACATTCCTTTAGCATGGGAATCAGAATCATATCTCCTGAAAACCTAAGAGGAGTACATGGAAATTAATGACAATCCTGGACATTGTTGAAAGATCATATTAGTAATAAAGATGGGAGTTCTGTATTCAAACATTGTATGTAGTTTTCAAAACATATGTGGTATTGTACTCCTTGTTGTTCAAGAAGCTAGAATGACAAAATTTAAACCCTTGGGAAAGGGAAAGTGGAAAGTCTAAGTCAAAATCCCTTGTTGTTTGTTCATTTTTAAAACTTCAGTTTCATCTGAAACTGAACATAATTCAAACCAGAAATTGGAAGGTGTGGGTCTTACCCACATATAAAGGTCATTGACCAAGAAGGGGAAACACGCACTGAAGTAATGTAGGAAGAAGGCGATGGAATAAAGAAATGTAGAAGCACTATTCTACATTAAGGAACTTGAGAATTGAAGAACCAATCAGAGTAAAGTCTACCATCTACCTAAATGAGATTGCAACCCTCTTTTAAAGGAGGATGTTGTCGTGGGATGGATAGAAAGGAAGATATACGTATTTATGAGACATGAAAGTGTTCTTTCAGGATATCTCATAGAGTATTTGTAGATGGCACAAATTATTACTAGTCTAGTTTAGTAGCTACTCTGTCTTTCTAGGGATCCATGGCAATTATAATTCTGTAAAGAGAGTCTTACTCTATCATGCAGGTGGGTAATGTTTTGTCCTCCAGATGTTTTGACCTACAACTCACCTCAGCTTTGTCCAATCTGGACAGTAGCAAGGGATTGTGGAAGCTGTAGTCCAAAACACCTGGGAATTCACACCACAATTCTCTCATGATACCTTGCGCTTCACTGTATTGTATTTCCTGAGATTTTGTTTGAAATAGTATGAAAACAATATAAATCAGTGCTGAAAGTACAAATCACTCCTCTTCCAGCAGTTTAATGAGTATACTGAACAAATATCATTAATCTTGACATTTAGTCATGCACCAGCTTAAATGTACTGCGTGGATCTTCTCTCCCCTTTGCCCTATTCGTTTCTTTGGCTCTTGACTGGATTCTTTTTCTCTCTCTCTACAGAAGTCAAGACACACGGAAAGTGAAAAGCTACAAGTGCAAATCCAGGCATACTTGGACAATGTCTTTGATGTTGGTGGGCTACTGGAGGATGCTGAGACTAAGAATGTGGCACTGGAGAAAGTAGAGGAGTTGGAAGAGCACTTATCCCATGTAAGTGCATCTCAAGGGTGGGAAGCTCTTTCAGTCTGAGGAACAAACTTGATTTCAGAGTTTTTTGGGGACAGCTAGGTAGGAAGGTTGATCTATTCAAGAGATGGGTAGGGTGAGCCCAAAGGGTTGGCCAGAAATCCCAGCTCTTGTTGTCGATGACTAAATCAGGTAGTTAAATGTTTTGTAGGGGGGCATATAGCAGATAAGGAACCATCAAACTATGGCTTCATAGGGAAGGTGGTATAGCCTTTTGGAGATCTAGAGGGCTGGATTTGAACTCAGAGCAAGTGTAGTCATTTATCACAGGGCTTCTTAAACCGTTTCCACTTATGACCCCTTTCAGTCCAATAAATTCGTATGTGACCCAGGATATATAGGTATGGAAAATAGGTATGTAAAAATCAAACATTTGTGGATGATACCTCACTACCATCTCCCATAGGGACTTGTGATGGCTTACAAGCACACAGTGGTGCCATATAACATATAAAATAGAATATAACAACATTAAAACCAATAACACTTTAAAAACCAAATATATAAAATTAATAAGAACAATAAAATCAATAGAATATGGCAATAGATAATAAATCAACATTTGCTAGACTTGCTATGCAGAATTATTTTTCTTTTTGTGGAGTACAACTGAAGCATTTTCTGCAGAGTCCACTGTAAACACTGCATGTTGTTGCTAACAGATTTGTGTAAATGGGTGGCATTCAGAGCTGTTGCCAATTTTTTGTAAGCCCAATATTGAGCTAAGAGGACCCCATTTGGGGTTAGAACCCACAGTTTAATAAACAGTGTCTATCATAACAAAAAAACTTCCAGGTTAAAGTTTCATTTAGTCCAGGATAATGTTTCTCACAGCGCTGCCAACAGTCTGTGTTTCTGAAGGCTATAAATTTCTGGCAGTCTCCCTTGTGGTTTGTCCACCTGCCATTTGATATTCAGTGATATACTGCCTCACCGTTGATAAGCCTGTCATCTATTAATTTGTGTCATTTCTAGTAAAGTTGGCAAAGACAGGGACCATCATCACATCAGCTTGTAGTAGTTCCCGTAATTCCGTAAATCGGTCGTACATTGTGGATAAGAGCAGAAAGAATAACAGCTGCATTAAATAGGTTGCATCATATATTTCTATAAATCCCCGCAACCATAAGAGCCATTCGTTTTTTTTAAATTCTATGAACCAACAAACACAAGACCTGTGACATTTTCAGGAAGACAGCCTTGCATATGAAATTTTGGACAGATAGTTTTCTGAGTAGGCATGCCAACTTGCTGACCTTTTTTTTTTGGTTCTTTTTGTTTGTTCAGTTGACAGAAAAGCTACTGGATCTGGAGAATGAGAACATTATGCGGGTGGCAGAGCTGGAGAAACAGCTATTACAGCGGGAGAAGGAATTGGAAATTGTCAAGGTACACAGGGAAGAGAAAGTGGTGGGGGAGGCTGGGACTGATCTTCAGTTTAAAGCGGTGGTTTTCCAGTCGTGTGAGTTGGGGAATTCCCTGCTTTCTCAGAAGCTTATAAGTGAAATTTTCAGTAATGAGAAGATCAGATTGCTGGATGGTGCTCCTAGCCATGAGGGATGAAGGGATACATACCTTAGGGAGTCCAGTTTTTTACAGACGGGGAGGAAGGAGGCTCAATAGGCTCAGGTTGTGTTTCCTACAATCTGTTTTGACCCTCCAATGGCACAATGGGTTAAACCCTTGTGCTGGTAGAACTGCTGATCGACAGGTCAGCGGTCTGAATCTGGGGAGAGCGGGTTGAGCTCCCTCTGTCAGCTCTAGCTCCTGATGCTGGAACATGAGGGAATCCTCCCACAGAATGGAACATCAAACATCCAGGCATCCCCTGGGCAACGTCCTTGCAGACAGCCAATTCTCTCACACCAGAAGTAACTTGCAGTTTCTCAAGTCACTCCTGACACAAAAAAAGAGTACATTTCAAATTGCCTTCAGAAACTTTTGCAGATGTTTTTGCAGAGACAATCATGGTGTTCATGAACAGGGAAATTGACATAGGAGGAGTTATTCATAAGTAGGAAATTCATAAGCTGCTGACTGAATGAATAGTACCTTTGCCCCCCCCCCCCCCCCCCAAATTTGACTGTCCAAAAGAGAAATGAACTAAGCAATCCCTCCTTGCTCCCATGAAAAGTTCATTTGAGGACGATTTGCCATCTTCACCATGTGGACAGAATTTTGTCCTGTATTTTGAAGTTGGATTTCAGTGAGAGATTAGTAGTGAATGACCTTCTGTAGGTGGAGTGAGAAGTCACCTGTGTCTTCTTGGACAGGAAACCTATGAAAGTGCCAGCAACCAGGTGCACACGCTGCGCAGGATCATCAAAGAGAAAGAGGAGGCTTTCCGGCGCCACTACTCTTCGCATCCGGCAGGGGGTGACCACTTGCCACTGCCACCCCCTCCAGAAGTGGAGATCAACTTCAGCGACATCCCCGAGGATGACCTCCGTCTCCCGGCCCTGCCTCCCATGGAGGCTGCCCCTCCACCCCCGCCGCCTCCTCCTCCGCTTCCCCCGCCTCCTCCTCCACTCCCAGGTACGTGTGTTCATGCTGCRGAGCAAWGAAACCAGCTTCCCTGTGGCAAGGAGAGTGCCTGATCCCTCTCTGTTGCTTTTCTCCAACAGATAAGTGTCCGCCGGCCCCACCGCTCCCTGGTACATCTCCAGCCATGATCCTGACTATGGGATTATCAGGTATATTTCACTTCTTACAGAAAGGGATAAAGACGAAGGTGTAGGCCAGAGGTGGAGAAAGTATGGAACTGTGTCTCTTTTTCTCAGTCTCCCATATAAGCTGAACAACCAAATCCTATATATGTATTCCCAAAAGTAAATCACATGACCTTTTGTTGGGGCTCAATTCCTAAAATGTGTATTTAGGGATGCAGCCAGGAAGTAGATGCATTTGTTTGATTTGATATGTAGAAAGGGAAAAGACTGTGTGTTGACAGCTGCACAAGATCCTACGTCTACATTTCAGATATCATAGTTTCAGAAAAAAACAACAAACACCACAGAATACTACCGGAAGTTGCAGCCAGTGTTTTGTTGGAACAGAGCTTTCTCAGTAATGACTTTTCCCAAGTGATTTGTTGGACTTGGGCTGAAATCTGCCCTGTTGTATTCCACTGTAATCAGCAATCACTTGTGTCCAAGTAGGATGGCCTTCCAAGCTTAGGGTCTTAGCGGTGGGTCTGTAGGTGACTGTGGAGACCTATTCTTGACCCACATGTTCTTCCACAGTGAGGATATGTTGTATTCCACACTTGTTTGGTCAAATAATTTATGTACTCCTCTGTTTCCCAAGCAATCCGGATTAAGAAGCCCATCAAGACCAAATTCCGCTTGCCGGTCTTTAATTGGACGGCGCTGAAACCTAACCAGATTAGTGGCACAGTCTTCAGTGAACTGGATGATGAGAAGATCTTGGAGGTGAGCAAATGAGGGAAGCCAGTACTGAAGTGTAATATTTAGAAGTGCCATTCCCAGTAAAGAAAAACAAATCATCTTCTAATCTATTGTTTTGGTATCATGATGAAGCAAGACAGGGTGTTAGCACGCTGCTTAGTGCTGGTCAGAGGCCATAATAAAGATTTGTATTATATTGTATTGGCTAATATAGGGTAAGGACCCTTTAACAACAGAAAGTGCCTGTTTTTCAAATCTGAAAGGATCCACTTGTGATTTTATTTTAATCAATTTATCCTATCGTAGAGTTTTCTGAGCAAAATTTGTTCAGAATGTGTTTGCCATTGCCTTCCTCTGAGGCTGAGAGACTGTGACTTTCCATGGCTGTGGGGAGATTCAAATTCTGGCTTCCAGAATCCAATGTTCTCCAGAGTCCAATCCTCAAACCCTTCCACCACAATCACTTTCTCTCTTGATGTTGCTGGACTGAAATTCTCAGCAGCTCTAGCCAGTAGGCCCAATGGAGAGGAATACAGTGATATCCTTTCCCAGCCCCTACCAAAGAAACTGTGTTAAATGAGTTGGGTGATGTGAAAGGAGATATAAAAATGAACTACCCACAGCTGATGATGTTGACAGCTGCCTAAACTTCACATCATGATTTGAAATATTCAGCAAATTATTTTGTAGCTGGCTTCTAATCTGATTTGTGGAGCTCTCATTATTCATTCAGTTGATTCAAGGTAACACACACACACAAGACTCTCCTGTTTATGCTATCAGCATCCCAACTTATAGTTTACTTGATTCTAATGCTCACCTTTTTTGACTAAATTACATTGCCAAAATTGAGGTTGCATTAGAATCACACCAATAAACTCACCTACATGAAAAAGCCCAGAGCAACCCATAGAAGCCCAGAGAAGGAGGAGGAATTCCTGGCTGAGGTGGGCATTGCATTCAATGGAGCATTTTACTCACGTAAATACAGTACTTGGTAGCAACCTGTGTGTGTGGTCTGATTATAGCCAGGAGATAGAGAAGTACCTCTTCCAATTCTCTTCCTTTTCACAGGACCTTGATCTTGACAGATTTGAGGAGCTCTTTAAGACCAAAGCCCAGGGCCCTGCCATCGACCTCCTCTGCTCCAAGAACAAGGCATCCCATAAAGCTGCCAACAAGGTCACTCTGCTGGAGGCCAACCGGGCCAAGAACCTGGCCATCACTTTGCGAAAGGCGGGCAGGACCTCAGAGGAGATCTGCAAAGCCATCCACACGTGGGTAACATTACCTGTGGTTTTGCTTCTAGACTTCCAAGGCAATGAGTTATTCCTCTAAAGGTCTAAGGCCTTTTTCTGACTCTTGTTGCAGAAGGCACCCACCCCCAGTAGCCAGGTTACATACATAATACTCAAAGCAGTGATGTTATTGTGGTATGTGCAGTAGAAAAACACACAATCAGTTCTCCCCTTCCCAGTACAATGCACAACAAAAGCAAATAAAAGGAATTCTCAATTTGTTATTCTTTTGTAACACCTACATTACTACTTGAGATAGTCAACTCAAACTCTCTACATCCATAATTATTGTATGGTAATAGTTTATACCTATGGCATTGTGTTTCTTTTATCTTGCAAGCTCTCTTGAGTCCTAGCTTTGGGGAAAAGCTGACTAAAAATAAAGATATGCAACATTGAATGTGGAGGAATAATAATATATAGGAATGCTAACATTGTAATGTAATAGTGCTGGTATATTGTATGTAATATTAATAATATTGTAATATAATATGTTGTATATTGTATATACAACTTATGATATGGTACAACATATTATATAATATTAATAGTATAATGTACTGGTAATGTATTATATATATTGTGGTATAATAATATAGTATAATATATAATAATATGATAATTGTATATTACTAGTAGTAATTGTAATAATTAATAGTAATAATTGATAATTGTATATTACTAGTAGTATTGCAGTATAATGTGTTATTATTTTTGATATAGATGTGGATTTGTTTTTGGGATCTGTGGGGTTGGTTATTTTTGCTCATCTCTCTAGGAATCTTTTTCTTCAGCATGATTCCATGGTCAGTTTCTAGTGAATGTGGAGTTATTCAAATAAGTTGATGGCTATATAAATTATATTTATCATTGAAAAACCACTTTTAAAATCTTTTTTTGGGAAACAAAATAGGTTTGACCTGAAGACACTACCGGTGGATTTTGTGGAGTGCCTCATGCGCTTTTTGCCGACAGAGAATGAGGTAAAGCTGCTGCGTCAGTATGAGAAAGAGCGGAAACCACTGGAAGAGCTCTCGGATGAGGACCGCTTCATGCTCCACTTCAGCAAAGTGGAGCGCCTGACACAGCGCATGGCCATTATGGCCTTCCTAGGCAATTTCAGTGAAAACATCCAGATGCTCATGCCGGTGAGTTCACCTAGCAAAATGGGAGCCTCTGCTCTTGCTTTATGTCTATATTGCATGAGAAGAAATAGGGCAGGGTGCGGGGGCGGTTGTTCATGTCAACCAGCCCACCACATTTCTACATTTGACTTACAACCAGCCCACCACATTTCTAGGTATGACTTCTGCAGATAATGATTGTTCATAGATTTGATTAAGATGTTCTCTCTAAGAATCTCTTGGTCCTCCAGAGTGGCTCTGTGGACATCTTCCAGCAAAAGTAGGCTATAGGGTCTTGCTGAAGGACATATCAGCGAGATGCACTCAGGTTAAAAAGTAGCAGGTTTTTTAAATTTGTGCTTTTTTATATTTATGTGGGTCCTATGGCCATAACCCCAGTGAATATGGAGGGATGACTGTAGTTCCCTGAAGCCTCTGACTCTGACTTCTAACCTTCTTTGTTTATTAGTGTTACTTCATAATTGTCCCCCTATCCATTCGCTTACCCCTGTATTGTGTGTGTGTGTGTGTGTGTGTGTGTGTGTGAAAGAGAGGAATCCAGCTATTGATGTAGCTGGAATGAGGCTCCTTGTGTTTGATTGGATTTGGTCTTGAGCGAGGACTGTAAGGCTCCTTCTATACTGCCATTTAATCCAGATTATCAAAGCAGATGATCTACATACTCTTCTTTGAACTGGATTATATGAGTCTACACTGCCATATAATCCAGTTCAAATCAGATAATCTGGATTTTTATACAGCAGTGTAGAAGGGGCCTAAATCTGGATTTATGTTTTTCTCACATGGAAGACTGAACCATTTCAAAAGTTTTGGCATCACTTGGTGACAGCTTATAAAAGAGTTTACACATTTAAATTAATTTTTTTTCATATTACAGAACTTTTTTGTGAAAATGCATTCAAACCCCCCCCCCCCCAATCTAATTTTTCTTGCACAAAATGCATCAGATGAAAAATGTTTTATGGCAATTGACTATTTTCTCAGAGGGAATCTTTATGGTGTTGATGCACTCTTTTTCATTGAAGTCACCATCTTTTTATTTATTTACTTACTATATTTCGAAGCCATCTTTCTTGACCCTGAAGGGTACTCAAGGCGGCTTACAGCTTAGGCAATAATTCAATGCCTTAAAACTAATATATATCCAATATACAATGAAATAAACATTCAATTAAAAGTTTTAAAACCAGATTAGAAAACATTAAAAACATTTAAAACATTACAATTAGGATTGTAATTATTTTGTTCTGGTACTGGGGAAACTCACGTAGAATTGCATGCTTACTTTTCAGGAAGTATATTCCTTGTTTACCTGTTTGAAGAGGATAGTCCTGTGCCAAATGACAATTTCATGTCATATATTTAATGAAATAGATTTCAAAACAGAGTTGTATAAAATGTGGCCCTCCAGATGAATGTTGGACTGCAACAACCACCCTTTACCATTTCCTAATGGATTTTGCAGTACCGCAGTATATGAAGGGCCTCATGTTGCCCACTCCTGTTTTATATGAACTGTATTCCTGCTGTCCTTTTAAAAATTGAAGAGATGCATTCTTTAAAGCAATGTCATGAATATTTTCCTAGCAAGAATAAACATAATTACATCATTGCATAACCTCCCAATTACCTAGCAGTCTCATTTGGGGGTAATTGACATATTTTGCATTCCTGGCATCTTGGAAATGCCACTGCATCAGTACATGTGGGACAAGTAGGTCAGTGGCCCTTTGGCCAGTGCTGCACAGCAGCTTCAAGGGAAGGACACAAGAATGCTCTTTTCCCAGCTTGAAAAAGTTACTTTTGAGGACTGCCCTTAGCCAATGTTCAGGCACTCTGAGAGAAATGGGATTCATTTTCAAAAAAAACCCAGGTCTTTTTGCTTGTATAGGGTGCTGTGTGAAGATGTCACAATTTTCTGTTTTCCTGAGGGCGTGGAGACATTTTACAATGGCAAAGTGGCAAGCAAATTATACTTGTCTTCTTTTTCTTTTTTTAATCTGTTGAAAATGGATTTCAGTCTATAAAAGCTTACGCTAAAAATGTCTACTTCCAAATTTGCATTGAAATTGGTCCTGGGTTCATTTTGGGCTTTTTGTGCTATAACAGTTTTCTCTTTGAATCCCATTTTTAGTCTTCCTCCTTCCTTCCTTCCTTCCTTCCATCCATCCATCCATCCATCCATCCATCCATCCTCTTGTTCTTTAGGCCTTTTTGTACAGTCTGGGAGGTCATGCACTTGGACAAAGACTGGCACACTCCCTTCTGCCCTTGACTTCCATGCGCACATTGTTTCTTTGTGTACAAAGTCTGATCCTTTATAAGCTGGGCACATTTTAAAGGCCCTGCTTACAAAACAGCAGGGGGCTCAGTAGCACTTTTCCATTCCCGCACACATTTAATCAGATTGCAGACCTGCATGTAAAAAGAAGTTCTAATTACTTTACGTTTGGGCATATAGTGGCCTTCGGGTGGCAGAAACACCTTGGTCTAACTTTGAACCTTGTATCAGAATCTCCCTGAAAACAAATGGAGTGAGGCAGAGCTTCCCCTGCCGTTTCCTTATTGGGCCTACGCCTGACTCATTTTGACCCATGTTCACAGCAGATTCCTGCTAGGGCAGAAGTGTCAAACTTGTGGTCCTTCAGATGTCGGACGCTTCAGCTCCCAGAAGTCCTAGTCAGCTTGTCCAGTGGCCAGGAATTCTGGGAGCTGAAGTCCAATACTCTGGAGGGACAGAGCTTGACCCCACTGTCCTAAGGGAATGCGGCTTTTAACAATAATACAGGCTCCTCTTTCTATTTTATAGTGGCTGGGATGTGTTTCTGTCCTAGTCTCGTGAGAATATGTGTAATATTTTGGGATTTGTTCTTTTGTAGCAACTAAGCGCCATCATTGCTGCTTCAGCATCTGTCAAATCTTCTCCGAAGCTCAAGCGTATGCTCGAGGTAAGTCACTCTGCTGGTGTGAATACATGCGTCCAGTGTCTTTCCCTTCACTACTGAGGTTCTGAAGGCTCCGGGGTACAAGGAAATACTCTCTGAAGTTAATTCCATGATGTGCTCCAGCAGTTATTAACTGGGGAGTCTTCATACTATGTAACCATCCGATATGTTGATGACCTCCTCTGTGACACAAATTCTCTTCCCTTGCAGATCATCTTGGCCCTTGGAAACTACATGAACAGCAGCAAACGGGGTTCTGTATATGGTTTCAAGCTACAAAGTCTTGATCTGGTAATTAGGGGGGATTACTTTAAACAGATAGCATAATGTGCCCATAAACTCATGTGTGTGTGACCACACCATTGTGAGAAGGAACCCTCTCTACCTTTGTGCTTAGATATGCACCTAGGAAGGTTCATCAGACATGAAAATAGGATTCCCTTGCATGCCAATTGCCTTTTCAGGCAGAGGGAATACCTGAGTCCTTGGCAGACTTGTCACACAGCCTCAGCAATCTGGATACAGACTGTCTGTGGCATGGATTACACCTTGGAAGACAGAGGTTCCCGGCAAAACTATTATTTTTTGCTGTCCTAGCTAAGTTTAGCTTATATAACCAGGTTTAGCTAATATAACTTTTAAAAAATGCCCACCTACAACAAAATAGCATCCTTGTTTAACATCCTTTGTTTGGTCCCCATTTCTGTTTGTACCTGGTCACAGATATCATTCAGTATTGGCAGAAATGGGTAGAAATCTGGTACTTTACATAGGTCCCCAATTCCTTGCTTGGTTGCAGGCAGCCTCTTGTCATGGTGGGCTCTTGTGTGCCCACATCCATTTACACCCACCTGCATATTTCTGTAAGGAGTACCTAGGTTCACATGTGTATCTGTTTCTTTTGCCTCTTGCCACATTTGTGCAGAACAATGTAATAATGCCTTAACTTACTTTTCTTCCCCGCCTCTACCCTGGAAGCTATTGGACACTAAGTCAACTGACCGAAAGTTGACACTCCTGCACTTCATTGCTATGATGGTGAAGGAAAAATACCCAGAGCTGAGCACCTTCTGGCAGGAACTGCACTTTGTGGAGAAAGCAGCTGCAGGTAGGGCTTCACTTTGCACTGGTCAATTTGGGGGGCAAGGTTTTGTGAGACCAGTTGCTCTCGTTGCAATGGTGTAGTAATGGTGAGGCCACAGACCATATTCTAGTTCTTGGGAACCACTGGTGGTCCACGGACCACAGGTTGTGAACCACTGAGTTATAGGGATCAGTTGGGAAGTAATAGGAAAGGACTGAGCCTGAGATCACAGGGCATCATGGCCAGCAAGCGTGACTACCCAGGCAAATTGGTTCAGTGTTTGGACCTGGTGCAAAGCAGCTTTCTAGTTATAGACCTTCGGTGTTTGGGAGGAAATTCAGTTTGTGCCCAGTAAAGAGAGATGGAAAAGGAATTTGAAAAATTTTATTTATTGCGATGACAACTTCTAGCCAGGTTCTGAACCCCATCCTAGCATGAGGATTCAGGGAGAAGTAGTCCAAAATGGCTTTCCCAAGCTCTGCTGCAAACGATGGGCACTCACAATAAGTGGGCTAGGTCAGTGGTTCTCAACCTGGGGTCCCCAGATGTTTTTGGCTTGAAATCCTAACAGCTGGTAAACTGGCTGGGTTTTCTGGGACTTGTAGCCCAAAAACATCCGGGGACCCCAGGTTGAGAACCACTGGGCTAGGTAGAAGAAAGCACTGAGGAAAAAAAAGTACAGTGGTGAACAATTGACACTCTGTCTTTAGTACAGAAGGAAGTCAATCAGACTGCATTCACAGTAGAGGTGGGAACCCTGTGGTCCAGCTGTTGTCAGGTTATAGATCACACCATCCCTGGTCATAATACAAAGGGATCTGCATCTGATGGTGTGCACTTCATTAGTCTCCAAAGCACGGCAGGATCCCTTTGATTACAGACTTATATGGCTATGCAATTAAATGCTACCATATTGGTCACAGTTTCTAGCACCATCCTCCAGTACAGGAAACCTGATCTGAATCCAGTTCCTGCTGCTGCTGCTCCAACAAAACCACATTCTGAGGAATGCTTTGGGTGTACTGAGTGTTGGCAGAGATAGCAAGCTACCAGTGCCCTCTACTGGAGATCTGTTATGGAGGCGCAGAGAAAAGAAGTGTGAGCTCCCAAGCATAGAACTCTGGAGTCATACCTGGAGTGTCAGAGGGACCTGGGCCCCATCGTAGCTCTTTTCAGCATGCACACAAGATTTTTAAAAGAGTTATATCATCACTAACCATTATACAAGGGACAGAGTTTTGAAATATTGTTTCTCTGGACTTAAGCTTCCCAACAATTCCACAAGCTTAATCTCCTCCAAGAACCACATGCAGCCTCCTGCCTCACTGACATTCAAGCTTAGCAGGACTATGCTGTTGAATTCTATTCTTAATGCTAAATGCATCACTTCTGTTCCAGAAATTGTAAGATTCTATTAAAAGCAGACCAAACAAGCCTCAGGTTTCCCTAAAAGTGCTCCAAGCTCCATTTCCCTTCCTTCCGAGGGGCAGATTTCTCTCACTTCCTGTTGTCTCAGCCCCGTTCTTAACTATGAGTCATCTGCAAGTTGGATGTTTGTATCTCGGAGACTTCCTTTATTGTATTTATTTGGGGAAACTCCACTTGACTTCCACTTTTGGTAGAGTTCCAAGCTGGGCTTAGCTTAGCAGGCTAAACAGCTGTGCTACAGAAAAATCCTGCTGAGCAGAAGATCGGCAGTTCGAGTCTGGGTCAGGGTGAGCAACTGCCGTTAGCCCCAGCTCACCTGCCCACCTAGCATGTTTTAACAGGAAGGTAATAAAAAAGCACCCTTAAGGACACTGATAGAAGGAAAGCTCCTCAGCACGGAAGATGGAGCGATAGCATACTCCCCCCCCCCCCCCCCCCCCCCCCATGGCCAGAGTTGAACACATCCTCCAAGATGCTGGAAATACGATGGGAAAAACTGCCTTTGCCTCTGTTTGTGTTGTCTGTCCTTGTTAATTGAATGATCTGCATTGAATGTTTGCCATATGTGTGTTCTGTAAGCTGCTATGAGTCCCCATTGGGGTGAGAAAGACAGGGTATAAATACTATAAATAAATAAATAATTTTAAACCTTGGAACATGGTTGGTACACATACTAAAATGGTGCCATCGGATGAATTTAGTTCTTTCCAATGTACTACAGTGTCCTTGGAGAACGTGTTGCTGGATGTCAAAGAGCTGGGGCGTGGCATGGAGTTGATCCGGCGGGAGTGCAGCTTGCATGAACACAGCATCCTGCGCAGCTTTCTAAGTGCCAACGAGGGGAAACTGGACCGACTGCAGAAAGATGCCAAGACTGCAGAGGTGAGCTGAGTGGCTGAGAGGGGGCCCTTTTCATGTCCCTGGTACTATCACATTTCAGCATGTCAGGAGTGACGTTGCATTCCTTCCTTCTACCATTCTGAAATATTTTCAGGCCTTTTTGTTTTGGGAAGAATGAGTCTGGGAACTCAGAGCAGTGTGGGAAGGAAACCATCACAGTTGTCACTGATTTTAGGCAGTTTGACAGATTTTAGGGCAACTCCTTTAACATGATCTTTTTACACAAATTAGTCTGGAGCTTTTGATAGGAGCTTCAAGAGCCACACTTTGAGGTTCCCTTGCAACTCTCAGGTCACCCTTTTACCGCTCCACCGTAGAAATAGAGGATGGGCAGAGGAAAGCATCTGGAGTTGTGCTCCATTGTGCTCCACTGTACTTTCAAAGGTATTCATCTGGTGTATACTGTGGAAAAGCTCACTTTATCGGACTGCAGACTGCATCACCCATCCTGAAAAAAATACTGTCTTCTGTACAAAATACAAGGCCTGATTAATGTATGGAAATCCTGCCATTTGATTGGCTGTACCTATGTTTGCAGATGTACTCCATAATAAATCTGATTAATCCACAGAGTTGTGGGGTTGTGTACGGTCCAAGATGCATTTGAGCCCGTATTTTATCTTAGCCATGTCTGTTTCATATTGCTATACAGTGTCCTTTGTATGCTCTGACTGGCATCCTGTTAGTGACATGTGCAAGAATAAGACCCCTTTACCCTCTATTTATGTTTTTTTTTTATCTTTGAAGAGATTGGCCTTTGCTCCTATGACCAAAGCCCCCAGTTAATATACCCATTCCCATGTATACATCTTTTCTGTTGCTGGTAAAATATGGACAGGATCAGAGAAGTTTTTTTCTCACTGCCATGCCAACATCATTCTCTAAAACGTCAGAAGATGTTCTCGGTCCGTGTCTGTCTTAGGAGGCATGGCCAGATGCTTCTTCAATTCCCCTTACTCTTCAGCAGTCATGAAAGAACTGTAGGATACAATATTGCAGTGTGGTTGTGAGTCCTAGTGGTGATGATGGGGAGTTGTAATTCAATCCTGCATAAAGAGCCTTTACTCTACACTCAGCCATATAGGATTCATGTGTGGCGATGGAAGCTTTGTAAACCATTGAGTTTCTCCCCAGTTTCAATGTCCCAGTCTGATGCACAAAGTAGATTACACATAGCAAGCTTGAACTTGCGTGTAAAAAAAATCCTTGTACAAGGATTGTCATTTTTCACCCTGGGCCATAAACCTGACAGCTAGTTTTAGCAGCATTTTTGTTTTATCAGAGGTTGAGGTCAGACCCTGTTCACGCTGCTTTCCGATTTGCAGGAGGCCTACAACACAGTTGTGCGCTACTTTGGTGAGAGCCCCAAGACCACACCACCCTCCGTTTTCTTCCCAGTCTTTGCACGCTTCATCAAATCCTACAAGGTGAGTGTGGGAGCTCAGGATCCCCGACTTTATCCTTTGTGAATCTGGGAACGTGTTTGCAAAGCACCTCATCATTGAGTTCTTCCTCCCATTGTTCCCAGCAGGAAGTAGCTCTGCCTGTGTCTAGGTGTGGTCAGAGAGGGACAGATTTAGCATTTCCTCTCTACATGATCCATCTAGTCTCTTTACCTGACCAATGGGCACCTAGGCATATTCCAGCACTGCAGTACTTTTAGGTGAAATTTGATTCATCTCAGACTCATCTCTAAGGTTGTGGTACCTCTAGCAGAACCAAAGCAGCTCCTTAAACAGCTACATTAACAATTTCTTCATTTCCTTTGCCAGAAGACACTGGCATATGCCCAGGTTTGATTGGTCTCTTGCTGAAGGAAGAGTTGCTGGATAGGAAAACCCCTGGCAGAGTAGAGCCGTGTGGTGTTCTTCCCTGATAGGTGGTTCAGATGGAGACAGTACTCTAGAATATTGATCCTGGACAATGGCACCAGATTGGCTTCTAGGCATCACCTGACTCCTAAGACTATGGTACTTATGGTCAGTGATAAATGAGTATCCCATCTTGAACCATATGTGGTTCTCTTTGCTCAGTGATCCCATTGCTATGGAAAGTAAGGACCTCCTCTCAAAATGTCCAATCATTATTTGTTTAGATCTGTTTCTTAGCTTATCTCATGGACATATGGCTAAGACTGGGCTGAGTAAGAGGGAGTGGCCAGGAAATGGGAAGATGACTTCTTTGGACTATAATTCCACCAAATCTCCCAGTCAACAGGGCCAAGCTTTAGCACCGCAGGTTAACCACCAACTTCAGTAAATCTTGCCAATCGAATGGTTGACAGTTAGAAGCCCAAGTTAAGATGAACTTGGCCCAGCTTCTGCCTACCTAGCAGTTTGAAAGTAAAATGTGAGTAGATAAATAGGTACCACTTAAAAACGGGGAGATATTTAAGGCACCCATAAGAAAATGACGGGGAAAAAGCTGGTAATTAGATCAAGGAGGACGTTCACAAAGTTCTTCGCCAGGGAGATGGAGTGACAGCACCTGCCATGGCCGGATAATAGATAATTGCTTGTTGCATTTCTAGATTGGGGTTCCTTTGTATTTAGATGTACTGGACTACAATCCACATCATTTCCAGCCACTCTGGTTAAGATGATGGGAGTTGCAGTTTGTGAAATTCTGAAAGGCTCTTTTTACGTAAAGGACTATATGTCTGAGGGCAGGACTCCGATCCACTGAGTCACTTTCAAAATCTGTGATTCTAAACGAAGGCAACCCACAAATTGAACTTTACAGCTGGATCTCGATTTTCTTTGTCCTTGACTACTTGCCCCTCATGTAGGTGGATGAGTTAATATTTTAGTTAATTAGTGAATGGAGAAGGCCAGTAACCCAAGAGCTGAGTTTTTGTTTTGCATTTAAAAGCTCTTAGTTACATTTTCTTCAAGAAGGATGGAAAAGACAATACCTCGCAAGTTCCAGTAGTGATCTGTCTTGTTATGGGACAGCTGTATGCTCCACCCTTTATGCCATTCAACTCCTGAGCAGGCAATGTCCCCACAACACTTCTCTTTCAGGATGCAGAGCTGGAAAACGATCTGCGCAAGAAGCAGGAACAAGCCCAGAGGGAGCAGGCGCTGGCCCAAGAAGCCAAGAGGCTGGAGAAGGTAAGGGTTGGAGCAGGCTGTTAGAGTAATATAAGGCTGCCTTCCCCAAATAGGTGCTTTCCATATGAGGCAAATTCCAGACTCTATGCCCACAAGAGATGGGACATGATTGCACTCATAGATCCAAACATATGAAAGGTGCCAGGTTGTGAGATACTGGTAGAATGAGACCAGAGTAGGTTACTACTAAGATGATTTTCAGGAGACATGAGGCAGCTGCTTCTGTAAGGATGTCTTTATGATCTTTTTTTTTCTTGGCTATGTCTCTTGACAGAATGAAAGCCACATCTGGCAACATAGTTATTCAGAAATAAACAAATGGCAAGAATAGTGAGCGATCTCAACAGTCCATGCCTCTTGTTGTATAGTGTTTCTAATTGGAGCCTCTTCTCCTGGACTTCCTTGTGACATAAACATTAAAATTACTTCCTTTCCTATATCATTCCTTGTGATATTGGGAAAGAAATCACAAGTTGTGTGTTTTTTTGTCCTTGGCTTCTTGTTTATGAGGGATGAATGCAGCATATAATATGCAGCAAATAATATTTGATGATGATGATGATGATGATGATGATGATGATGATGATAATGATGATAAGGATTTAAAGGTTGAACTGCAAAGATCCTAGCACAAGCCAGTAAAGGTGGTCCCAGTGGTGATCGGCACACTGGGTACAGTGCCTAAAGAACTTGGCCTGCACTTAAAAACAATTGGTGCTGACAAAATTATCATTGTCAGCTGCAAAAGGCCACCCTACTCGGATCTGCATGCATTATTCACTGATACATCACACAGTCCAAGACACTTGGGAAGTGTTCGATGTGTGATCGAATACAAAAGCCAGCATAGTGATCTTGTTTGCTGTGTACTAATCTTGTTGTGTATCAAATAATAATAATAATAATAATAATAATAAATCACACTTGTGATTTTGTCATATGAAATCCAGCATATACATCTTACTTGCTATGTCATACTGTGTTTTTGTGTCTTTGCAGTTCAATTTATTTATTTATATCCCATTTTATTTCCCTGTAGGGATAGATGCCCCCTCTTGTGTGAGAGAGGTATTTCAAAGCCATCTCTCTGTGGGTTGTCTTCCTTCATATATTGAGTTTTGTGCATATAGTCCACCTGATTAGACTGTTCTGGCCTCATTGAGCCTGCCTCAGTAGCTCCTGTGGTGTTTCAGGGTTAGAGAGGCCTCTGTGCTTGAAGTCTAGGTGACTACTTCTGCCCGAGGGAGGCTTATAGTAGCAGGGTGCAGTGGGTCTGGGCTTGGCACATTTGTTTTTCCTTCTAATTCCTGACCGACCCCCAGTTGCCTTTGCAGCGCAACAAGTGGCAGCAGCAAGAACTGATTGCTGAATTGAGGCGGCGCCAGGCCAAGGACCACCGGCCTGTCTATGAAGGCAAAGATGGAACCATTGAGGATATAATCACTGGTAAGTCCTTCTGTAAAAGCACTAGATCCTGCCCGATCTTGGAACATAAGCAGGGTAAGCCCTGAAATTCAAGGGGTCACCATAAGTTGATACCATCATGGAAGTGGGGGGAATATTCACTTCCTTTGCTATTTCCAGAGTCTCCACCAGAGGTTGCCATTGCAGGAAAAGCAGGAGAAGGAGATCCTGACAGCTGCTCAGCTCTCAAAAGCCCCCCCCCCCCCCCCAGAGTGGAATCAGGTTCTTGCTCACAGCTGTTCCTTGACCTTTCCACCCTTCTGCCTTAAAAAGGAAGGGGGAAAGTAGGAGAGCAGATCATGTATGTTGGGTTATCATTCGGACCTAAGAGCTGTGAGAATAGCTTCCCAAAGCTTTACTGTCATATTCCTGTTCCAAACATATTCTTGAATCTATGGGGATAAGATCTCCCCCAAAGCACTCACATTTAAAACCAAAACATGAGACTATAAGCCTAGCAATCTTGTGTGTTCTGGACCACATTTTGTGCTTCTTTGGCATTTGTATAGAACTTTTGGTACTTAACACCAAAAGACACTACTTTTTGGAGAATTTTCTTTATAAGATTACACGAGGAAGGGTGTTTGGTTGTTTTAGTGGTGCTCTCCCACAACCACCTACAGCATAGAAGATTCCCTATACATTACTACTAATCGAGTTGCTCATTTTTGCAAGTCATAAATTGCCATTGTGCCACCGGGGGCTCCAGCAGAGTTATTGGCATACTTACATGCCTTCCCCAACCTTGAACTGTCCAGATGTGTTGGAAACTCCACTGCTGTTATTTAAGGGTATGGCTGCTGGTTGTGGTAGCAGAGACAGGTAAGAGAAGCCACACGTATATCTGAAAGGCTCTAGGTGGAGGAAGTCTGATTTTTGCCATCATGCTTTCTTAAGCTGTTCACCATGAGGTTCAAACAATGTGACATGTCTCTGTGTCTTTGTCCCTCCCCACACCCCACAGTGTTGAAGAGCGTCCCCTTCACTGCCCGCACAGCGAAGCGGGGGTCTCGCTTTTTCTGCGAACCATCCCATCATGACGAGCCCAACTGTTAGCCGGGCTCTCCTTCCCCGTCAAAGGTACCCGTGGAATGTCTCTCCCTGGTCTGCATGCAGCTCCAGCCCAGCCTTCCCCTCCTGCATGCCTTGCTATCCATTCCCTTCCCACGGGCTCAGGGCTTCTCAACCTCTTCTCTGAGGACTCCCACTGTCTCGTCAAGAGAATTGTCATCTGGACAGACATCAGAGTCTCAGTGTCCAGCTGGTTTCTTCCTCAAGAGTTGTGGTGGCTGCAGTCACTTCTATGCATTACTGCTTTGAGTTGGCTGTCTTCAAATTACTTGTGTGACCAGACACACAAAGCGAGACATTTCAGTTACTATATTAAGCAGTGGGTTTTAGCAGGAATGGCTTTCCCTCGCCCTTCTGTGAGATGCTCACCTGCCAGACTTCTCCCTTTTCCCAGCATTCCCCAAAGACCTCAGGAACTTTGAGTCTTCTCCAGTGTCTGGTCAGTCCAGCATACTTCATTTCATCAGTATACATTTTTTAAAGATTTCTCTGCTATCATGCGGAATAGAAACCTTTCAGTTATTTTAAAGAGAAGCAGACAACTCAATGCTGAAAAAAAAGAAAAGAGAAAGTGAAAGCAATTCAGTCATCCTGAATCTTGATCAAAGCTCTTCCTCTCCACTGTTGAGAATCCCTGCATGGACCCTTTGCATGACTGGCAATGAGAACATCCGGTCTCAGTTTGCATGTACCATTTTGCAATTGGTTTATGGGATTACCCTATCATACTAATGCAGTAGAGTAGCCTACTAAATCCTTAAGAGGAGTGGTGACGGTGGTGGTGACGGTGGTGGTGGTGGGGGTGGTGGTGGGGGTGGTGGTGGTGGTGGTGGTAGTGGGTATCAACTAGTTTTCTGCTACCTGAAATCTTAATAGATGTGATTTTCCTGGCTTACGCTTGATGGAACCAGCAGAGATCTCATCACACCAAAGAATGAATCCATTTAAATGAATCCATTTAATTCTGCCTCCTGCAGAATTCTGGGGTTTGTAGTTTAGGGAGGAGCCTTTAACAGTCTCACTAAACTACAAACCACATAATTCTGCAAGAGGCAGAAACTAGATTTAGAGTGGATTCATTCTCTAGTGTGATAAAGTACCAGGCAAAGTACTGAATGATCCTACTCTCCAATTTGGGGATAGGTAACGCTGACTTACATTAAAGGGTTATCATAAGGATGGCTGATATAATATTGAGCATAAAGTACAAGTAAGACCCATTAGAGTCAACTATGTATCAGGTACAGTATAGCACCATGCATTTGAATGGTACTGTCCCTAAAAACACATCAGGCAGAAGAAACCATTCTGGCATGCCTTCTGCAAGGCTTTTAGTGTGCTTGAAGCAAGCAAAGCCCAAAGTGTTAAAAGTGCCCCAGCCCTGCTGTTTTGGTTCAGTGCAAGAAGCAATTTTTCCCCTTGGAGAATGTAAGAACTCCCTTGTGCAGACAGCATGGCCAGAGCTGATCCTTCTCTTGCCTCTGTGAAATGTTTGGGGCCAATGGGAATCAGTGCAATCAAAATCCTAGCATCTGTGGACCTGGAAGTGGGTGGGAAGGAAATTTCAACATCATTAACTATGAGAAAAATGAGCCTGCTTCACAGGGGCATAGCATTGGGTGGGGTTTTGGTGGACAGCACTCAATACAGCCAGCCCATTCCCCAGTGTTTAGTGCTGCCTCTGATAACTAGGTGAAGTATCCAGTGACATGTCCCAAGGTCTTCAGTCCCCTGGAAGAAAAGCTTCCCCTCCAAAACCAACCTTGATTTGGCCTAATGTTTGTCTTTATCTCCCCCGTAGCAGCAAGAACCACCCGCCTCTAGTTCCCTCTCAATTCATCTGCAGGAGAGGGTAAGAAACCATTCTCTGAAGCCTTGGAGACTTTTACCTCTGCTTTGCTGCTTCTGCCTAAGTGGGAGATACTGACCCAAAGTTTGCAGTTACTGGACACAGCAATTGCTCACTGCCTCTCTTTGGTGGGGAAAGGTGGTTCCCTTTGTTTCTAATCAGCCACGCTAAGTGTACTCAAATGAGGTAGCTCAGCTATTAGTTTCACAAAGCAAACATGGGCTTGCCTAGAAAATGGGGGTGCAGAGCGAAGGGGTGGCCTGGGTGCAGTGTTAAAGGCTTCCTGGGGTAGGAAGAATAGTTGTGGTGTCTTCCATCTCTCTCTCCTCCCAAACTGCATTGGAATGAACAAATTTGCAATGTTTCCACTGCTTCTGCGCTCCTTCCCTGTCGACTCTGTGCTCCTGCCCTGACCAGCTGTTTCTTTCTCCCTCAGAGTCCTGTATGCCCTGCCTTTCCAACTGGCTCATGCTGCATCCAAGGCCCAGTCCATGTTCTCTTTTGCCAAAGAAGCAACAGACATCCATTCCAAGAATTTTTTCCCCGAATGGAAGAACCAAAGGGACAATTAGGAAGTGCCTTACTGCGACAGTATTATTTTTATTCTCTTATTATTTAAGGTGTATTTTTAATCTGTACATATATGACCATTCCTATCAACCCTTGTTCCTGCTCTCCCTTACTGAGTCAGCTCTGAAAGATGAGACTGTCCTTTGGCTTTTTTGGAAGTGCCTTTGGCCAGCAGGAAGCTGACGCCTCCTTTCTGTGAGTGTCAGTCCTTTGCGTTGTCAGACCAGAATTGCACTTTGACCTTTTCCATAACGTGTCTTTTAAGTGAATGGAGACAATGGTGAACTGTTTCAGTAGCAGCTGACATCGGGATTGGGTTCGAGTCTTGTGGACTAACTGCTGTTTTTCAAGAGCCATCTTCAGCAATACTTCGGCCTCCTCAGAACAGGCCATGTTCTGCCCATGAGGAATTTAAAAGGGCGGCCTTGAAAAACCACTGAAACCTTTCTTCAGAAACAAAGAAAAACCCAAGTCTTCAGACCAACTGCACAATATAAATCTGATACCGGCAACAGCAGAAAAATGACCATGGGGGTGGGGTGAACCCTAGATAATTGCTAGAGAGATCCGGGGCAAGTTACTCCTGGCATTGCCCAAGAAACACATGAACACATACACGCTATCATTACTGTTACTATTTTTCAACGGACCAAATTTTGCTTCCAGTTCATCTGGGTTTTTTTTTAGATACAACTTTTCTCAGTTGCTGGACCAAAGATGCTGCAAGGCTCTCCAGACCAAATCTAGGACAACTCATTGAAGCCCTTTGCCACTCCCACCCTGAAAAAGCACCAATGGTTCAATTCCATTTAGATGCTATCCTCAGGGAGAATATTCCAATCTCAAAGACATTTGACACCCAAGTTGGAAAATTTAGATCTTAGACTGAGAATTCTCTCCATGAACCAAAGCAGGTCACAAAACCAGCAAGTGAGATGTTTGCATAATTAAAGCTGCGTTGAGGGCATTCATGGTCTACAGAGAAGATGGACACAGGACAAGTGGAGCAACCAAATGACAACTTTTACCACTAGTTAGAAACCACTTGGCAGCCTTTCTCCAAGTGCCAGCCTTGTTTGAAATGAATGGAATGAAGACCTTTCTGTTTCATTGAGTCTTGCACTGTAATATATCTCAGTAGATCTTATCTCATAATTCAGATATTCTCCACTCTTCCATTTGGAAGGTTGCCCCAGATTTGCTGCCATAAAAGACTACCTCTGGCTCCTTTAACATTTACCACTGTCGCTCTGCTGATGTCTACAACTTGGGCCATGATGTTTTTTCAGACAATCAGAACAAGAAAGCTTGCTTCATCTTTTACTTGCTTGGATTTTTCTTCTCCACCTGACCAAAGATTTTTTTACTTGTGATATATTAGAACTGCAGAAACCATAAGGATGAAGCCATTGGACAATGAAAGAAGGACTGCTTCTTCTTCAGTTGTTTTTAATTCAGGGAAGTTACAAGTTCTGCTCCAATCACCTTGGGGTTTTAAACCACTTCTCTGGAACCGGGAATCAATCAGATTGGCCTTCTCAAAGCTGGTGCCCTCCAGATATTTTGAGCTACAACTCCCACCAGTCCCTGTAACACAAGTTGGGAATGATTGGAATCATAATTCAATACCTTGTGTCAGATCGTGGGTTGACCATCCAAAACACTCTCTAGGTAAAACTGGCATTAATAAGGTATTGTGATGTTATCTTTGTTCCTACATTAAATTCTGAATGCAGAACCACATTTTTTTTAAAGCCAGCCAAGGTGAGGAAGACTTTTTAAAAACAGACTATTAATATTTGACTTTCCCTTCTGTATGATCACTAGGGACCATGGGGTTTGACTCCATAGAAGATCCTTTTTCATACCAGAATGCTCCACTGTGACTTTGCTCAAAAAATCAATTGGAGGAGTAATACAGATTGCCAAAGAACTGTGCTTTCTGTATATAAACAATGTCAAAAGATTGCATTGACTGTAGTTGGAAACTGGAAGCCTTATGATTGATAACAACTCATCCCAGGAAAATATGTCTTTCTTTGGATTAGGCCTCTCTGTTGAGCTTGCACTGGTGGACTTGAATCTGCATTAAATACGACCTGGGGTGAAGGCCTGTGATTCGGGGGAGCTTCGAGGCCCTGGCAGAACACAGCCTCTCTGTGATGTAGAACAGGCATCCTCAAACTGTGGTCCTCCAGCTGTTTGGGCCTCCAACTCCCAGAAGCCCTAACAAGCTTGTTCAATTGTCAGAAATTCTGGGAGTTGAAGGCCTAAGCAGCTGGAGGACCACAGTTTGAGGATGTCTGATGAAGAGCATTGTTTCATCTCCTTCAGCCTGCCCTTTGGGTTATTAGTTGGAACCTCTAACACCTTGGGATTTACTATACATTATTAAAGAGGTTTAGAGTATGGAAAGGTAGGTATGACAAAGTCAGGAGAGACCAACTGCTTGCATAGGAGAGAAATAAGATATAGTTCTTAAAGTGAGGCTTTGCCAGAGGTAGGAGCATATATTCCTCCAGATTTTGTTGGACTTCAGCATCCACAATCCCTCACTTTGGGCAAAGATAGCTAGCAATAATATAGTCAAATCACCCAACAACATCTGGAAGGTCACAAATTCACACACACACTGTCATATAGCACGTGACAATGGATTTGACTTCAGGCCACCATATCTTATAAAGTGCTGGGAGTAAAGGTAAATGATTCCACTTAGCATCAGGAACCTAAGCAACATGTACACAGCCATGTGCTCACTGTCCAGGTAGGTTAGGCAGGTTGGGAGAAGTAACTAGGTGGAAGCCATTTCAAACAGATCTCATGTCTTTTGCCAAATGGTTGTCTTCTTGTAGATGTACAAGGGCTTGGTTAAATACATGCCTGATTACCTCAAAATTGGAACGATGCGTTTCCAGGAACACTGAAGTAAAAAAGGTTCTGCTCCCACTTGTAGGTGAAGACTTGGGTGACTTACTTGCCATCTGAAAGCAGGGGATGAGGTGCCACTATGAAACAGTGTATGTGTATGTATTGTCGAAGGCTTTCATGGCCAGAATCACTGGGTTGTTACAGGTTTTTCGGGCTGTATGGCTGTGTTCTAGAAGCATTCTCTCCTGACGTTTCACCTGCATCTATAACAGGCATCCTCAGAGGTCTCACAACCTCTGAGGATGCCAGCCATAGATACAGGTGAAATGTCAGGAGAGAATGCCTCTAGAACACAGCCATACAGCCCGAAAATCGTACAACAACCCAGTGTATGTGTATCATTGGGAGAGGCAAATTCGTATGTGGAATCTATTTGGCAGTATGCTTAAAATAGAGGGTGGAAATGTGGGGAATTATGAGAACTGGAAAGTATGTGCAGCCTAGAAAGAGAAAGAGCAGGTGTGCGAAATATTTGGTTGAATACCAATTTAATTATAGTTACAGGATGCCCATTAATATCCTTGAGTCCTCAGTCATAAATACCTGAAGTCCAGTTGATTTCAATGTGCCTCCGTTGAATGACTAAATTAGTTATCTTCTGCAACGGCTCCACTTAGGTTGTCTGGTCTGGCCTTGGGTGCATCATTCCTATCCCAGTCCTCCTCAGTACTTTACTAAGAAATATGTGAAATTCAACTTAATTGGGTTCCAAATGCAAAGCTAGATTCTTGGTAGTCAGACCCAATTAGTCATTTGTGGAATTGTGAGTCAGCACTTAAATTGCATTGATTAAATTGTCCTATATAAGTGGGTGCTAACAATGGGATTCGCTCCCAATTTAGCATACAATTTTCATTGTGCATAAGCTATCACCAAATAACATGGGTGAGCCTATAGGATAGGCAACCTTTTGACTTCTCTGAAGGATTGTCTTGGGTCACATAGAAAATATGCAAACACTAACTGATGAGCAAAAAGGTTATGTACATTTTTTGAACTGTTAGCAGTTATAATGTGAATTATGGATAATAATCCAATATTTGTAGACACAACATACTCTGATTATTCCATTCCATTGTCATCTACAAAGTTTGCGCTCAAGAACCACACAATCAGTTACCAAAAAAGCCATGTTTTAACGAAGTTTACAATTTTGTGTCAGGCCGCACTTATAGGCATCTTGGGCCACATGCAGCCCATGATTGTAGTCTAAAATAAAACACATTTTGTTAGCCTTTTTTCTACATTCAGCTGTTACACTGAGATTCCATTGGGCTAAGTTCTCATTTAGTCCCGACTAAACGTATTTATTTCTATAATTTCTTCATTGTGGTCTCTGTGAGGAACAGCACACTATTGAACAACATATTGAATGGGGTCATTCTTGTTGGGACTAATCAATATAATGCTAGTTATTGTATGAGAACTTATACTTTTTGGGTTGTTGCAGGTTTTTCAGGTTATATGGCCATGTTCTAGAAGCATTCTCTCCTGACATTTCGCCTGCATCTATGGCAGGCATCCTCTGAGGTTGTGAGGTCTGTTGGACACTAGGAAAATTGGGTTTATATATCTGTGGAACATCCAGAGTGGAAGAACATCCTTGTTCCTTGCATGGAGTCAGCGGTATTACTGCATGGCTCTTTGGATGGCATGAAGAGTTCTGCTTTCTATTTTATCCTGTGATAAATGGGAAAGCCAATCACACTTTGGCCAGAAGCTTTACATATCATATCTGACTAGGGTAGTAGTTCTCAACCTGTGGGTCCCTAGGTGTTTTGGCCTACCACTCCCAGGAATCCCAGCCAGTTTACCAGCTGTTAGGATTTCTGGGAGCTGAAAGCCAAAACATCTGGTTGAGAACCACTGGGACTAGGGATTTGAACTTCTCCAGCCTCCAACCCCAACATCCAGCATTACAAAGTAGTAACTCTGGCCTTCTCCGATTACCAGATGCCAGGGGACAAATGCCAGAGTAGCCCTTTGGCTGCCTGAAGGTAATTGGTCAGCTCTGCTGAGAAACAAGAAAGGTGGGGAGATTGACCGTGCTCTGGATCAGAACTGGATGTGTTTCTGTGAACCAGTAATGCCCATGAGAATAGTGGTTTCCTTAAAAAAGCAGCCTTCAAACAAGACAGAGATCTTTGTTAAGAGAATGCCATGAGTCCTGCAGACTTGAGATTTGACTCTTGGGGGCGGGTTCACATTATTTTTCCTGGCACAGGGTCAAGTGTCTTGGCTTCCTGCTTTGCACACTCAAGACACAGAAGGCACACAGAAATATATTCTTATTCTAGGGCCGAAATGTCAGCTCTACATCTAAGAGACAATATCAACTGAACAATGAACACAATATTTTAATGCTAATTGTAAAGACTGTGGAAGCTGAGCCTCATTAGCTTTACTTTATGGAGCAAACACTATTGCGTTTCTGCAGTAAGCAAAAGGGACCAACCACCCTCTCCCCAAAGAACCTTAGCCACAGAAGATGGGCAAGGCTTTTCCTGGAGTTGCCTCTGGGCAGTTTACAGTGTATCCATTCCAGTGTAACCTCCTTCTTTGTTTGCGTGTGTAGTTAGATGTAACTTTTTTGTATGTGAAATATTATGGAGTATATTGCAAGCCAGTGCCTCCTTTCCCCACCCAAACTTCCTTGAACTGTACAGAATTTTTACTAATAGGAGAAAAAGGGTGGGGGAAATAAAAACAAAAATGAGGATCTAACGTAACGTTTTGTTTGTTTGAAAGGGAAGGATAGACTTCTGTAACGAATGCTTTGCTTTTCAACCATCTAACCCAAGTGATGCAGAAGTGAAGGAAGGTTTTGCAGACAAACATTCAACGCAGCTCATGGTTGCAGTCCAGTGTGACTTACAGTAGCAATGAAAAACATCCCTCCGCATAGTCAATTCATAGGCTGCCAGTTTGGGGAGAATGCATATATGCCCAGTCTGCACGCATGCAACACTCTTTCTACTGTATCCACTTGCCTTGTGTTTTTTAAAAAGAGAACTGCCAGGACTGCCCAGGTTTTTCAAATGTCTGGCAAGAATTGTATTTTGAACTCCTCCTGCCCTCAGGACCTGTATTTTGGTCTGTCTACTGCCGTTTTAGTACCCATGAAGTAAAATGATGAGATGCTGCCTTTTGGATCCACAAACCTCCGGTATAGCCATCCCTATGAAGAGCAGGGGTGGGTCCATAGCAGGCTTGTTGGTTTTCCTTTGTGTTTTAAAAATCTGTATTCTGCAACATGTACATATGTGGCTAAAAATTTCTTCAGCTGTTGAGAAAAAAGAGACAACTACACAAGGAACCAGGACACTGAAAAGAGTTGAAAAGTTGGGACAGCTGCTATACTTTTTGAATTTCTGCATCCAGACCAAAACCTGCTATCATTGGACAGGGTCATCCAAACATCAGCTTGTCTGGCAGGTGTTAACAGCTGCACCAGAGACTGATCGTGAAAATACGATGTCAATCCTTGTCTCAGCAAATGGAGTTGTATCAACATATGTACAAGTAGACCAGGCATGGGCAAACTTTGGCTCTCCAGGTGTTTTGGACTACAACTCCCACAATTCCTAACAGCCAGTAGGCTGTCGGAAATTGTGGGAATTTTAGTCCAAAACACCTGGAGGGGCCAAGTTTACCCATGCTTGAAGTAGATCAACAGCCTGGACTGCTCTAATTTGGCTCTTCTGCCTTAAAGTGATCATTTAAAAAAAGATTTAACCAACATGACCTAAAAATTTAAACTCAAAGCGAACACTGTAAGACAGACAAGTTATTTGCTTTCCTCAAGATAATGGAAAACCTGATCAGATCAATTTTTAGTTTCAGAAAGCCTTATCAAAAGAATACCTGTGTTTACAAATCCAGGAAATATATTAAAAGTATGACTTTCATCAACATAAATAAGAAGCTGCAAAATGAAGCAAGCAGACTAACCTCTGCAGTTTGCTTACTTGCATAATTACTAATTAAAGTACATTTGAATACAGAGATTGCTGAGCTGATTTGCACACCATAGTAAGCCAGGATGCTTTCATGCACCCGTCTTTTTCGGGGAGAGCTGGCTGCTGGTGCATAAATATTTCATTTTGTAGCAGTAGCTGTAGTGGGCAATTTTGGCATTCAGACAGCATTCCCATCTTTGTTTTTGCACTTTGAGGAGCCCTTTTTACCACCCAAAGGTTTTCCTCTTTTAATATTTCAGGAAACTATTTTAAGACAGAAAGACTAGTGGGTGGGAGGAATGACCCCGAGATCCAGGTTGACCTAGGTTAGATTTATCCTGATAGCATCTAGTACCTAGTTTGTTTCCCCTCCAAGTAGACCAAACCCATGGGTAACGGGGTGAGAAACCACAGCACTGGGTACTTCCAGGTTTGCATGTCATACTAATCCAGGAACTGGCAATTGTGGCGGGTGCAGAATCTACAGCCAAACCATTTTGTGTCCCCCAAGGTGTTAATTCTGCAGGCTGCCACTACCATTTTCCACGCCAAAAGAGTTCATATGGTTGCTCTCGGTATTCTAAATTTTCTTCAGCAATTAAATGTTTTGCCTCTGTTGGAAACCGCCCTGAGTCCTCTTGGGGAGACAGAGCGGTACACAAATAACATTTTATTATTATATTATTTATAATGACTTAAAAACATACCGAGATGAAACAGATGAAAGAGTCCCTATTCTTAAAGGATTTGGAGAAGGGTTCATGAGCAATACAGAAGGCCAAGGGGCACGGGACATGCTCTGCTTGATTTGTTCATCTGCTTCTAGTGCAAGTTTCTATTGTAAGTTACTCAGCCTCAATAGGCTAGTGATCTCCTTTAATACAACATGGCTAGCATCCTGTTAGTGGCAAAAAGACATCTGTGTCTTGAGATGATGTGGCCCTTAGTATCTCCTCCCACCTCCTGCAATGTCCAAAGTATCTCATTACCTGCAAAATTCCCATGCCCATTGCATCACTGATAGAGTGGAGAATGGGTGGCACTGAATTGTACCTGGCTATGACCTTGTTTCCAGATGTGAAATTCTGTTGTGCTCCAGAGGACCTCTGTGGGTCTCAGCAGATGATGTAACCATTCTACTTCTGACTACAGGGACACAGCCAGACACAGGTTTTCCATATCTCCAGGTTTTCCATATCTCCAGGCTTGAACAGCTATGATGCCGATAGGGCAATTCCATGGTAGCTTGCATGTGCTATATATTATCTCAGCTGATAGCTGTTATAATTTTGCTTTTTGCTTATTTTACTGTAAGCCCACTCACATTCCATATACCTTTTCTTTTCATTTGTGATATGAAAATCCTCTCACCTGAGCAGGTACCTATACCAAAGTTTTCTTCTTCACGACAAGAGTGTGGAGCGAAAGAGGGGGACAAGATGCAGCCTTAAACCCAGCTACGATCTGATACACATTACGAAATGAACAATGAAGGGAGGTACCCTCTTTGTTTGGAACTGATTTTACATTTAAACCAACCCTCTGCAAGAGACCAGAGAACAACCCTTCCAGTCCAGGTTTATTATAAATATCTTTTTAAAAATTCCACTGAAATCTTCCAACATACAAGGGATACTGCAACCAGGAAGAAGGACCCAGTCAAGGAGAACAAACCTTCAGGAGGAGGATCCGTGCCCCAGCCCAACTCAGACTTCAGAAGCTCACTGACATAGGACTGGGTCTGTAAACTTGCTGGCTGCTGCTGTTCTGGTTCAAGGCCAGAGAGGCTCCAGTCTCAGGCAGTCTAGTCAACACTCTGGTCCTTTTCCAGAGCTGGATGTGAAATGTGGAGATGATGTCTAGGTCCAGATTGGTGATTACAATCCTCCATGTTGCCACTTTGTGTAGGTAGGGTAGCGGGGAGGCAAGTAGAGACCATCCCCATCAGTGGGACCAGGCTGCTGCCCATTCAGAGACAAGGGGCCATGCTTGAAGGTGGGCTTGTGGCCCAACTGCACAGGGATCCCGACTGAGCTGGATGAACTCTTGGCCTGGATGGTGTTAAGGCCCCAACACAAAAACAAAGCAATGGAAGGCAGGGCCTTATGCAGGAACAAGGACCAACTAGGTTTCAGGTATGAGGGAAATGGGGAGTGTGGAGCGCCTCCAAGGAGGCAGTGGTTGTTACTGGTCACCCAGTTGCTGCAGCAGAGTCCGCCGGCGCCGTTCCAACTCACCCTCACTCAGCTCCTCGCTTTCTGAGGTGTCCCAGCCGCTCTGAAGGAGGGGATAAGTGCAAATGAGCAAACAACACAAGCCATCACCCACCCCGTGAATCCCATCCATCCTGATTTCTCTTGCCTTCCCTCAAATATGTCTCCTCCCTCATAGCAGCCTGATCCCATTGGCTCCCCATCCACAATTCCTGGAGAATCTCACCCGCTCCCGCCTGGCGCCCCGGGGAGGGGAGCGGCCTCTTCCCTCAGGTCGCGGAGGGGCCTTCTCTCTCTCCCACTCCTCAGGTCGGCTTGGCTCTTTCTTGTGCTCCGCTTCACTTTCAGGGCTGTTCTGTAAAAGAAACTGCTTGCAACTTTGGAAGCCACAGGATGGGAAGGCACAGTATGGCGGCTGGTAACCCAACCAGCGCAGCAGTAGCCAGCCTGTCACAGCCAAATAAGTAGAGCAGGAAAGGAGGAAAACCTAACCCACCCTGGTGCCGTCCAGGTATGTTTGGACAATGAATCCCACCATCCCTTCCTGCCATAGCTTAGTAGTAGGCAGGGACAATGGGGATTTTTTTTTAAGGTAATGTGGTGGCTGGAGGACACTGAATTGGGAAAGGACAAGGATTATGATCAAACCAAGCTCACAAAGATCGTAATGTAATCAAATTCTGGTACTGAGAAAAGCTGAAGCTGGAACCATCTGTGTTTACAGAAACCATCTGTGTTTACATCTTGCAAATTCAGTTGGATCCCCCCAGCTTTAAAGTAGGGATGGACAATACAAAGCTCTGGGCCACACACAGCTCCTCAAAGTTGGTTTTGCAGCTGGTGGCTTCTCAAAAGTGTCCCTTTCAAAGGAGGGAAGGAAGGGAGGGAGAGAAACAAAGAGGAAGGGATGTGGGAGGCAGAGAGAAAGAGAAAGGAGGGTTGCCTTTTTTGGAAGCTTCTGGAATAGTGCTTTAACTTTTCAAGGGATTGCAGGTCCCTTTCCCCATCGTGTTCAATATTTTTAAAAATTTCTTATTCAAAACTAGAAGTGGACTTCTGGACACTTCCATTTTAATTTGTCAATTTGTGTAAAGCAGGCCTGCACAACCTGCGGTCCTTCAGGTATTTGGGCCTCCAACTCCCAGGAGCCCTAGCCAGCTTGTTCAATGGTCAAGAATTCTGGGAGCTGAAGTCCAAAACACCTGCAGGTCCTGCCGGTTGAAAAGTAAATATTTGCACACTATTTTTCAAATATAGAATTCTTCGGGGCTTACAAGAGCAATGGCATAAAATACAAACAATAAAGAATGGTCATCATAACAATATTTGAAATTGTGAAACAGCAAGTCTTGTGCATTGTGATCATGCTGTCCCTCTCTGCTCATACCTGTCTCAAGGAATGGGTGATCACATGGCTCTGCTCTTTGTGGCAAGTGGATTGTATTACCTGGGCATGATAAATCTGATTATCCAGGGAGCCCAGCTGCCCCCATTTCTAAAGGATTCCCCATTTTGTTCAGGTTTCTCCATTTCTTTTTTTCAAACGAAATATGCTTTGCCTTTCCTCTCTCCCTGACCCTTTGGTGTCTGTCACTCTTCTACTGTGGACTCACCGATTTGTGTCTTTTTTTCTTGCTCTTCTTCTTCTGCCTCTTAGAGCGCCTGGTGCTGTGCTCTGTGGGGAGAAGGCGGGTGGAGAAATGGGACACCACTGGGGACGAGGATCCTCACTGGGCACATGCAAAATGCCAGGCTGGTCCAACACATCAGCGGACAAAGCTCAGGCAATGCTTGCCTATTTTGAAGGGGCCAGAGCTAGAGGGGGGCAAAGGCGACAGGCTATCTCATAGGTCACCCTAGCAGTTGGGTAACCACTTCTTTTTTGGACACTGGATGGCTTCCATTGGGGATGCTGTTGTAGTGAATGCCCTGCAATGATCTTTGAAGAACCTTCAAACTCTTCTGATCCTATCATCCACGTGGATTTCTAAGCTCCCTTGCGTACAAAGACACAATGAGATTCCATCAGTGTGCCAAGTGGGGTTTCAATTGACAACGGGCCTTTGAAAAATCAGAGGCTCTTACCTGAATCAGGTGAGGAAGATGCCCCCGATCCAGCAGATTCTGAATGGTTGCGTTTCTTCCGTTTGGCTGCACGGTGGGGGTGATCTGAACCAGACTCCGAGCCCTGAGGGGGAGAAATGTGGACTCACCGGAACGTCGCTAACTCATTCAAACTTATGACAGCCATCGCTAGGACAGCACTCTTCAGAGATGGCAAACTGTATTTATCATTACTGCCAAACAGCAGTTGACTATGCTTGCTGAGGGATGATGGAAGATGTAATGCAACACATCTGGAGGGCCTTGCTTTAGGAGAGGACATCTTACAGTAACTCATGGCTTGTACCCAAGTGCAGCATAGGGTTGAAAGGCTAAGCCTTCCAACCTTAGCCATGGTCAAGGCAATGTGCTTACAGATCCTATGATGATGGACAATTCAGAAGTCTTCCTTTGTGGATCTGGGTGTGTGTGTGTGTGTATTGCGCTGCACTGCAGGAACTTCTCCCCCTATCAACATAGGCTGCAGAATCAAAGTCAGTACCTGAGATGGTAACTAATCAACCCTACTAATTCAGCTTCTGCATGGACAGCACATTGGTCCCAGTTTTGAACCTTCCACAATTCGTTTCAAGATAAACTCAACATCCACAAAATAGTGAGGAAAAACTAGACCAATCCACTCCTTTAGATCTCCTATTGTTTACTTTTAAAAACTAGGAAATTGTTTCTATGTGGTGATATTCTACATTGTGACTCCCATCACTGACCTGCTGCCTGAAGTGATAAGATCAATTCTATCACCTCATGAAAGTCAGCATGGTGCAGTGATTTGTGTGTTGAACTTAAAATATTCTGGAGATGAGTCTTGGGGACCCATTGGGTGGCCTTGGACAAGTCTGCCAGTCTCAGAGAGGGGCAAAGACAAACTCCCTCTGTTCAATTCCTGCAAAGAAGAGCTTTTGATAGAGTTGTGTCAGGGTCTTCATAAGTCGAAAACAACCCAAAAGCTCGCACAATCACATCATGACTCCACAGCGCCATTCTTCTGTTGGTGGTTTCCTCCCTTCATGTCCAACTTCAGTCTGAAGTTGCACAGTCCAACCACATCTGGAGATTCAGAGGTGGCTGGGCTATCTCATATTTTGTTGGATTTTCCAACCTCTTCCTTTCCTTCCATAAAAATGTCAAGGGAGGTAAATAAGGTTGAGGAGTCAAGTCTGCCTTTGGAGTATTCAGTCGCTTTTGTCCAACAGACGGCTTGCCCTCCACACCCTGATAGCTTCAAGCGCCATCTCTCCCTTGTTATTCCCTGCTCCACCCCAGCCCTCCACCCTGAGGCCTCACTGAAGCAGAGCGCTTGCGGTGGTGCTTCTTGGGCTTCTTGGTGTGCTTCTTGGCTTTGGCGTGGAAATGCTGGCACTCCATCTGTGGGGAGGGAGAGGGAGAGGCTCACACAGGGCTCACTCATCCTTAGCTCCTCTGCTTACTCTCTCCACCCCAGTAGACCCATCCATGTCATCATCTACTATAGGTTTCAGAGCAGAACTTCCTTCTGGAGCTCCACTGCTCTGGACTTCTCCATCAACTCACCTCCAGAACTTGCAGGAACTCACGGAAGAGGCGGATCCGCTCTGACTCCAGTGTGATCTGCTCAAAAGCAATATTATTGACGAATCGTTCCCGGACCTGGTGGGGAAGGGGAATAGCAGGGCTAAGGAACAGGCCATGCTGGTTGGGGAGGAGGGTGGTGGTGTGGTTAAAATTTGCAGTCCAAAAACAGGAACCTTTGCCAAGCTCAGACAAAAAGGGGGAGATAGCTCCTTCTCTTGGATTGCAGGATTTATTTGGTCTTTCACCGGTATATATTGGGCTACCAAACACAGCCAAACACACCACACAGTAATTCAGGTAGGGACAATTATGAGCTCCACCCCAGGTGGCATAGAGTGTCTGGCAGAGCTACTTCTGGATTACACAGAGATTCTAATACAACTTCCTTCAAACCAGGCAGCATAGCTGACAAAGCCAAGCAAAGATCAGCAATAGCTGCAATCCAACATCCCCACACTGTAGTACCAATATCTAGATGTGGAGGCATACTACACAACCCCCAAGCAGAATATAATACTGTACAACATATGTCAATGGCTGGATGGCACTGTGCAATGCACAACTGCAAAGCATAATGCAAAACCACAGCACATACCATTGCTGTAATTGTTACTGTTACCATCATTAGAACACCACTGTTGCATCGCTGAGAATGATCTCTACATGAGTAAGTCATTAACAGGTTGCTGACTAATTTCTGCTCACATTTTACAGATGAAAACTCCTGAGGATGAGGCCAAGCAAGGTCTGAAGCCATGCCAGAGTTTATTTCCTCCCTTGTTAAAGGATCAAAAAGCCCTTGAATCTCTACTTTCTTAAAACCAGACAGCATAGCTGAATAAAGCCAAAGATCAGCAATAGCTACAATCCAACATCCCTTCCAGTAGATCCCAATCCACTTCCTGCTGGTGCCTCAGAGATGCCAGGGGCAGGTGGAAGCACAAGCGATCCAGGCACTGGGGCTCACCTCATCCCAGGCAATGCCGGGCTCCAGTGGGGGGGCTGCCTGCCGCAACATGCCCTTGAAAGCTGCCTCCTTGCGCCGCATCTTACGGGTTTCTTCCTTCTCCCGCTCGCGTTCTCGTGCTTCGGCCTTCTCCAGAAGCTATGAGGAAGGAACGAGGGACAGAGAAGCTAGAAGCATGCAGCATGCCCTTGTCATAGTGACCCTGTTGATTCTCCGGCTTCACCAAGAGCCCAATCTCTTTCAGTCCTTAAGGCCAAACTCAACTTGAGTTTGGCTGGTGGTGATAGGGGAAAAGGTGGGACTGTAACACTCTCACTGCCAGCAGCAAAAGGGGCCTTTGTTTTACTGTTTTACTGTTTTAACGATGACTTATGTATTGTTAATTATGCTTTTATGTCTAATTGTGGTTTTAATTTTGTAATTTGTTATGTAATGGCTTTGAAATGGGGCCCATCGTAAGCCGCCCTGAGTCCCACTTTGGGGGTTGAGGAGGATGGGATAGAAATGCGAGAAATAAATAAATAAATTTGTTTAAAAGCGCCACCATCCTCTGAGGCAGCCTCCCCGCTTGGAAATTATACCACACTTTCTGTGCAGCAAGTTTGCTGATCCCTGCCCCACTCACACTGTTGAAAGTTAGCTTAATGTTGCCAGCGTCTAGTGTCGCAGCCCTCTTGTCAAAACTGATGATGTGAGCAAAGTCCTCAAAAGTTGTATTGACTTCGACGCCAAAGCTCCGGTCCTGTCAAGGAATGAAGGGGGAGAAAGGAGATGGAGGGGGGCAAGGAGATTTCAAAGTCCTCCCAAGCCCAATACGTTAACCTAAAGCCTGAAACTTAGAGATCTGTTTGCAACTCAAGTATTGCTGTGGTATCAACTGCTGAATGATGAGTCAACACATAAATAAACTCACTGGAAGCTTAAGACAGGATTTAGGCCAGTGCTTCCTACTGAGTTGTGCTAAAAGAGGAGGACTCACAGGAGCGCTCAATCATAGTTGGGATGAGTCACTATGGCCCCATCTACACTGCCCATTTAATGCAGACCAGACTGCATTATATGGTCAGTGTAGATTTATATAATGCAGCGCAATACAGTTAAACTGCATTATGTTGTTATGTTTATTCCTACCCCACTTTTTCTCTCCACAAAAAGACTCAAAGCAGCATTATATGTCTATACTGACCTTATAATGCAGTTTGATCTTCATTAAATGGGCAGTGTAGATGGGGAAGGGGTCTCAAAAACCATCTTTTCATCTCTCTATTTTGCTTCACATGTAGCTTGAAATTATGGACTAAAATTTTGCTTCATGCTTTCTGACTTTTTGAACTACACAGGTTGCTTCTAAATGTTTTCCTAAAGCGGCTTTCCACAGCCTAGAAATGCCCAGAGGCTTTAAGCAACAATGGCTAAATTGCAAATTTTATGATTCTGTAGGATGGTGCTATGGCAGTGCAAGTGGAATCATAACAACATCATCTCAGCTATTACAACTTGACATTTTTGGAGGAGACTTGCAAGTTGTACTCTCTTGGCACTCCTCCAAGCTGTACCTTGAGGATATCCTTGATTATCTTTTTTTCATCATGAAACCGGGCCTTCAGATCCTCCACGTAGAACTTGAACAGGTCCAGTGGGGTGGAGCCTATGGGGCAGAAAAGCAGACAAGAACAGCCCTTCACTGGTAGCTTCCAAGGGCAAGTTTTCAGTTGCAGTGGTTTCCAAATTGCCCTGGGTTTCCATGAGGGCTTTGTCAGAGACCCTTCAATAAGGATACTGTGTGAACTGTGTCCTATAGGGAGGGTGGCCTTGGGGTGTTTTATTTTGTGCGTCAGGAGCAACTTGAGAAACTGCAAGTCGCTTCTGGTGTGAGAGAATTGGCTAGCTGCGAGGATGTTGCCTAGGGAACACCCGGATGTTTGAAGTTTTTTTACCACCCTTGTGGGAGACTTTTCTCATGTCTCCAAATGGGGAGCTGGAGCTGACAGAGGAAGCTCAATCCGCTCTCCCCAGATTCAAACCGCTGACCTACTGGTCAGCAGTCCTGCCAGCACAAGCGTTTAACCCATTACACCAGCAGGGGCTCCTGCCTTGAGGCTGAAGGGGCCATGTCTCTGCCTCAGCTGAGGCCCTTGAACATCCTTCAGAAACAAATACTAGGCTCAGAACTTCAATGGCACACAGAGAAGCAAGAGGGGATTCCTTGGCAGAAAAACCAGCATGGAACATATAAAGGCAGGCTATTTAAAAACCACTGTTTAAGGGTTTGTCTTAAAACAACTTCACTCAAACAAGCTGCACGATAACTCCCATTGTTCCTGTTGCTTGAGGGTGATGGTAATTATAGTTCAACTCAACTGAAGGCAACCCAGGTAGAGAAAAACCTGGCAAATCCATAAACATTCGATGGCATGGGCTAAGGCAGGCATGGGCAAATTTCATCCCTCCAGATGTTTTGGATTTCAACTCCCACAATTCCAATTGTAGGAGTAAAAGTCCAAAACACCTGGAAGGCTGAAGTTTGCCCATGCCTGAGTTAATGCCAGGGATGGGCCAGGCAAATGTTTTCTTCCTATTGCTTTTTCACTTGCTGCTACACATTTTTATTCTCTCTCCCTCTTTCTCATAATACCTTTTCTCTGTCTCTCTCTGGTGTGTCTCTCTCTTCTTTTGCCTCTTTCTTTCTGCCACCCAGTTTTCTCCCTCCCCTCCTTCCTGTCCTAAGGCTGCTAAGGGAGGGACAAATTGCCAGTAATCTGAAACTCATTTTCAGAGGGTTTTGGAAGTATGACTGAGGTCAAGAGGTTACCCAACCATGCTCTAAATCACCTCTTCCTTTCAATTTTCTATCCATAATATCACTCTTACTTTACAAAAGGGGCTCTTCAATCCCAGCTGTGTTGACAAACACAAGTTTTGATAAAATCCGAAACTTTCTGTGGCCAATCGTTCTGGTTATCTTGTTGCTAAACCAAAGAGGTGGTACAAGTGCAGTACAATACAAAGATGCCCCCATCTCTTCAAAACCTGAACACTATATCTTTATTTCTAACTTTATTTACATGGCACACAAATCTTTCAGTCCTTTCTTTATGTCATTTGTCCCCTAAAGAAAGGATGGACTCATGATCACAGGGTTTCCCCCCCTTAAAGACCCATAACTCTTAGGAAGAGGAGGAAGGGTTAGTGAGGAGGGGGAATGAAGGTGTTCCTGCGCTCTGGCTGCTTACCAGGTTGGCCCAACATGTTGGCAAAGCGTCTGTCAGTGCTGAGGGAGGGATACAGCTCCATCCAAGTGGACATGGAGTGCAGGCGCCCGTTTTCGTGAAGCTCGTCCAAGAAGGCCTGAGCAAGAAGCAGCCTGGTTATTCTACGATAGAGTGAAAGAGATCGGGGAGTCAGCCCCTCCCCGTTCACAGGCCCTGCAAGGGAGGCTTTGCGCCCCAAAAGCAGGCCCTGGACCCCACAACCCCGTCTCCCTTGGTCCTCCCTCTCCCTCCTGCTTTTTAAGGTAAACACGAAACACTAGCCAAGTGTAGAAAAGGAAGAAGGTGGCACACAGTGAGATGTGATGACACCCATGCCCAGTCTTTTGGGGGCATTTTCATGTCTTGAGGGCTTGGAACACTTTAAGTGCAGAAAAGTTTTTTAAAAATAGAATCATAGAATCAAAGAGTTGGAAGAGACCTCATGGGCCATCCAATCCAACCCCCTGCCAAGAAGCAGGAATATTGCATTCAAATCACTCCTGACAGATGGCCATCCAGCCTCTGTTTAAAAGCTTCCAAAGAAGGAGCCAATAGAAATAGAACAGCCAATAGAAAGAGAACAGTAAGTGACCTATTGGTCATTTCATGTTGTGAAAATTGTATCTCTTGGACTTAAAATGGTTGGGGGGGGGGGGTTAATAACCTAGTAAAATGGTTCTTATTGGGTTTAGGTATAGGGGCAAAACAAACTTTAAAGGGGCCCACCCACCATCCTCCTAGACTTCCCCATCTCTGAATTGGCTGATCCTTCCAACTTGAGGTGCCTGCGGCTGAACCATGGACTGTCTATATCAGCATTTCTCAAACTGGGGATCAGGACTCCTGGGGGGCGGGGGATCATGAGGGGTGTGTGTGAGAGGGGTCGCCAAAGACCATCAGAAAAGATAGTATTTTTTGTTGGTCACAGGGGTTCTGTGTGGTAAGTTTGTCCAAAGGCACTGAATAGTTGCCTATATGTAACACCACCTTGAGTCCCCTTCGGGGTTGATAAAGGTGGGATATAAATAGGGTAAATAAATAAATAAGTTTGGCCCAATTCTATCATTGGTGGGGTTCAGAGTGCTCTTTGACTGCAAATTAACTATTAATTATTTGAGCATATTGAGTACTCATGCCAAGTTTGGTCCAGATCCATCATTGTTTGAGTCCACTGGGCTCTCTGGATGTAGGTAAACTACAACTCCAAAACTCAAGGTCAGTGCCCACCAAACCCTTCCAGTATTTTATGTTGGTCATGGGACTTCTGTGCACCAAGTTTGGTTCGATTCCATCATTGGTGGAGTTCAGAATGCTCTTTGATTGTAAGTTAACTATAAATCCCAGCAACTACAAGTCCCAAATGACTAAATCAACCCCCCCCCCCCCCCGGCAATCCACCAGTACTCAAATGTGGGCATATCGGGTATATTATCCAGTGAGTGAAAATACATCCTCCATATCCAATATTTACATTATGATTCATAACAGTAGCAGAATTGCAGTTATGAAATAGCAACAAAGCTAATTTTATGGTTGGGGGTCACCACAACATGAGAAACTATATTAAGGGGTCACGGCATTAGGGATGTTGAGAAACACTGGTCTATATGGAAGGCCCAGGCATCTTTTCTGCTGGACTATGATCCCTCTGCAAACTGCACCACTTCCCACTTCTAGATGGCAGCCCAGGCTTATGCCCCTGGCTCTCAGCTCTGGCCCTGGATACCTGGAAGGCTTCCCTGTTCTTGCGCTGCTGGCGCCTCTCCCGCAGCCGGCCTCGCTCACGTTCCTCCTCTTCCTCCCTTTCCAACGTCCGGATGTGTTCCTCAAAGCAGATTAAGGCGTCCTCCTTGTCCATGTCTGAAAGAGGCAGAGGTGGGATGGGGGAAAGCTCAGTGGAGCAGAAAAACCAAACTGGCATGGGGATGCTGGGATGGTGGCGGCAGGGAGGGGAATGCAATGAACAGAAAAATGCTAACTTATACAATATGCAAATGAGAAAGTTGGATCCTGAGATCTGCTTACAACATACAAATGATACATGTTACATTATCACCTCTGTCTTTGCTATTCACAAGAAAATGGGACAAGCTTTTGTAGAACCCTTAGAATACCTACTCAGTCTTCCCCATCCTAGACTGTGCAATTTTACAAGGCATTGCCCACATATGTGCCTCCCTTCATATCTTTAAGACCTAGAAACAAGGCTTCATGTTGAAAATTGGAAAGCAGAAATACTTGTACTACAAGTGCAGTATAAACCTGAATGAAGAATATATTGCTGCTTGATTGTATAGAGCAGTGGTTCTCAACCTGTGGGTCCCCGGATGTTTTGGCCGTCAACTCCCAGAAATCCTAACAGCTGGTAAACTGGTTGGGATTTCTGGGAATTGTAAGCCAAAACACCTGGGGAGCCAGAGGTTGAGAACCACTGGTATAGAGGTTCATAGTGATCTTTAGCTATGATATCCCAGCTATCCTCCATCATCTCCTGATCTGAAACACACTGAAAGCCAGTTGGCTTTCCTGATCAATTAAGTTCTGCACGGCTGGTGAATAAGTGCACTAGAGGATGACAGGACCAGCCAAGCCCGCTCCCATCGGAAAGTGATTTTGTGACAAAGAGTTGTGAAAGAACCTCCCAGGTATCCCTGCTTCTGCTCCTTAGTCTATCACTTACTGGTGGAGGGGAGAGAGCTCATATCAGCACCTATTTGCTGCAGAATTACATTGTTCTAGACAGCTGATTGGCTTTTAAGGTGGTGTCAATCGTGCCCATAGTGCAATTATTGTAACTGTGAAAAGGAAACAGCTATGGTATGCAATCATAGCTCTGAAACTGTAATGAGAACTAGAATGAGAAGGAGCTGGGGCAAGAGGGAGGTGGAAAGTGGACTCACTTTGTAGGTCCTCATCTTCAGCAAAGCTGGGGTTATCCATCAAGTACTGCTGGGCCTCGGACCATGTGGTCTGGAAGCTGACACGGCTCATGCTGTCCAAAATGCTCTTCAGGGCCTGGATGTTCCTCTTGCGCAGCTGCTTGGCGTGTTCCTGGGTGTGTAGCAGGGAGAGCACTGAGGTTGGCAAAACTGCTAGAAGCACAGGACAGGAGTCCTTTCCCTGCCACCCACCCACGTCTGGGAGCATCAAGAGGTGACCAGTGACAGGGCAACAACTCCTAAAATCCCAACCAGCAAGACGACTTGCCATTTGACTTGGGATTATGGAGCTTGTTTTACAAAGAGGCTCCTTCCCAAACTGAGCTCAGCAACTGGGAGGGGAGAGGCAGAATATCTGTTCTTTGTTACTGAAGATCCCATCCCTTGCTCTTGCCTATACCTTCCAAATGCTGGGGCCTTGTTTGTTTACCTTCTCTTTTTTGGCCAGGAAAAAGAGAACATCGTCATAGATCTCCTTGCGATCGCGCTCCGGGACCACAGCCCACACTTCCAGTTCCCCAAACATCTGCTCAGCTTTCCTGAGGAGTTATAGAAGGAAACAAGAGGAAGCAACCTATCAATTGAGAGATGTGGTCACTGTGGTGAGGGTGATGAGGACGAAAGAGGGACCAGATTAAGAACATAACAGGAGGATGTGAAGAGAACTGAATTAGAACAGCCTACAATGATACAGAAGGTGCTCTGGAGCATCCAACGCTTGTAAAAGCCCAGTGGGGTTGTCTATTTGTTTGTAAAAGGTGATAAAAGAATGGTGCAAGCAGGAGTAGCAGAGCAATAAGGACTCTGGAGGGACACTCACAGTCTGCAGGTGGAATCCAATCTCATGATCTGACACAGATTGTATATGTCCAGTTTCTTTTAACTACAAAAGGAAGAGCAGAGTACATTGGCCCCTGTGGTTAGCTGGGAGTAAAGCACCTCTAGGCTGACCTAATACCCAGTCTGGAAACAGACGGTCTTAGCGCAGTGGTTCTCAACCTGGGGTCCCCAGATGTTTTTAGCCTTCAACTCCCAGAAATCCTAACAGCTGGTAAACTGGCTGAGATTTCTGGGAGTTGTAGACCAAAAACATCTGGGGACCCCAGGTTGAGAACCACTGTCTTAGCGGGAGCTCACAGGTGCTGGAGCTACTTGCTATGGAGGCAAGATTAGCTCCATGCCTGTGGCTCCATCACCAGTACAAACAAAGAGAAGATCTCACTGGATTCTCCCAAGTGTGGGTGCCCCAGAGCACCCCCTGTAACATCATAGGCTGTCTTAGTTATGTTCTGTACTCGTCCTCTTGACACGTTCTTCCATCAGCAGACAAAGGCATCTTTTTCTACTATTGTTCAGATCAACTTTTGTCATTTATTTTGATTTGTTGCTGAAACCAGCTCTATATAATAAGCACAACTTTTTAGTACCTTCTCATCAATGAGTTTTTAATCATGATACTCATCATGATCAGGCAGCGCACGTGCTTAAAAAAATTAATGTTAATCATTGTTGCTTTCCTCCCAACAGAAGAAGCATGGACTGGCATGTTCTCTTGCTAGCATCAAGACAGACCCATCCAGGGACCAAAGAGAAGCCTGCACCTCCTTTAACTTCCTTCCTAAAGTAAAGTAAAGATAAAGGTTTCCCCTGACATTAAGTCTTGTGTCTCTCTGGGAGGTGGTGCTCATTTCCATTTCTTAGCTCCCCGATTCAAACCACCAACCTTTTGGTCAGCAAGTTTAGCAGCTCAGCAGTTTAACCCACTTGCTAAACCTAGTAGTAACTTCAGGCCCCTCGACAAGATGTTTGCCACCCACCCAATAAGGGTCAGCCTGCCTGAGAAGTGGGCACTCTGCTTGTGACTCTCTCCTTCTCACCTGTAGCGGGTGGTGGAGTTCATCTTGTTGTGCTGCTCCAGGAAACGCTGCAGCTCTTCCTTGGCTTCCTTTGCCCGGAGTCGAGTTTCCTCTTTCTCTTCCTTGTCCCGCTGGGCCTTGTAGGCATTGAAGGCTTGCTTCTTCTCACTCAGCTTTGGCAAGGCACTGAGAAAGACCATGAAAGAAGATCCAGGAGCTTGCACCCATAGGCAAGGGAAGAAAACAAGTAGGAGACAGATGTAGGAAGGGAAAGGGGAAGCCCAGGTGTGCCGCAATTTAGATGGGAGTGGGTAAGGCCAAGAATATTTCTATCATAGTTTTCTGTCCTACTGTGGGAAAAATGTCAGGAGCAGTAGTCCCGTAAGACTGCGAACAGTGGCCTCATTTGATCAAAGTGAGGAGGAAAGGAAGGGGTCACATACCTCTGTGCAGAACCATACCTGAACCGAGGGTCACTGTTAATGATCTTCATGGCCTGCTCCCATGATGCACTTGCTGGAACACCCTGGAGCCAGAGAACAGCAGTATTTCAATCCAAATGAGATCAACACTAGGATGGCCCACACTCCCTTTGCTACTTGTCAAATGCCATTACACACACACATACGCTTGCTTCTGGCTTGGAGTACACAAGGTCTGGCTATACACTTCCCATTCTCCCCAGTTCTCTGAGTGAACAAAATGATTGCTCCTGAGAGAAGAGTTCAACTGATGTATTATTTTTCTATACGAAGGGAGAACACTTCCCCCTCTCAAGGGTCAGAATCCATACAGAACATTTTCCTCCATCCCTCCCCAAAGCTTTTATCAGCCTTCACCCACCCAATACTCTCTGTAAACCTTTATCACCCCCAGCCCAGAGTCAATGGTCAATCGAGCTGAAGGTGCTGAGAGTTGTATTGTAACACAGCTAGAGGGTTTGCAGAAGACTGCTCTAAAGTGATACAGTCCAGAAAGAGCTTCACCCCTTAAGGAAAGAGATGTACAATCTGGCACAGAGAAAGTTACTCATCGTCAAGTCCTCTAATTCTTCCCCAGTTAGTACCTTTTCCTTTAGCAGCTCTTTAAAAGCTTGTTTGGCCTCCTCCTTGTTGATCCATGCATTGCCTGTGCCACGCTCCTCCTCATCTTTCCGGACAGGATCAGAACTGGACCAGGAAAAGCAGAAGGATCAGCCTTGTATAAAAAACAGCCAAGAATGTGACTCTATGGTCAACTTTCAGTAGAAGTTGACCACAGAATCCGAGATAAAGGTAAAGGTTTCCCCTTGATGTTAAGTCTAATCGTGTCCAACTCTGGGGGGTGGTGCTCATCTCCATTTCCAAGTTGAAGAACCAGTGTTGTCCGTAAACACCTCCAAGGTCATGTGGCCAGGATGACTATATGGAGAGCCCTACCTTCCGACAAGAGCGGTACCTATTGATCTACTCACATTTGCATGTTTTCGAACTGCTAGGTTGATAGAAGACCAGTTTAACCTTTCTTTTTTTTTTCCGTGTCAGGAGCAACTTGAGAAACTGAGAGAATTGGCTGTCTGTGGGGATGTTGCCCAGGGGACGCCTGGATGTTTTATCATCCTGTGGGAGGCTTCTCTGTCCCCACATGAGGAGCTGGAACTGACAGACAGGAGCTTACCCTACTCCATGGATTCAAACCCTTTTGGTCAGCAGTTCTGCCAGCACAAGGGTTTAACCCATTGTGCCACTGGAGATTCCTAGGGAGGTGCTTTCTCCAGGAATCCTTAGGTTCCTCTAGCATGTCTCTGTGATCAACTTCCAGCAGAAGTTGACCATAGACTCTTACTGGAGGACCTAGGGATTCCCAGAGACAACATTTTAATCAATCTCTAAATAATCAAATCTGCAAATGTGGAGATTTGTCCCTAACTAAATAATGTATGGAAAAGCTGCATCTGGATTTTAAGGAGCAGCAGAATTTGCTAACATCATGCCCACTTCTTGTTACCATTGCCACTCCAATTCCCTGGAAGGAAACTATATATAAAGGGACAACCTACACAGACCTTAATCCCATACCCTCCCACCCCTCCCTTCCTCCGCTCCCCCCTCACCTGCTTGTAATTTCCTCCTCGGTAGCAGGAGGGCCCCCTTCAGTGACCGGGGTCTCCCGTCCTTCAACGCCAGTGCCTTCTGTGTCTGAAGTGGCTGCGGAAGAGGGGCTGGGACTGGCTGGGCCGGACAAGGGTGCTTCTGGCAGCTCAGGCTGCTGTTGCTTCCTGCGGAAGATAAAATGCACTAGAAGAAAACAATGCAAAGTGAAAATAAAACATTGCTAACTGGGACTGGCAAGGAAGCCCAGATGCTGGGATTTCAAAGAAACTAGCCAAATCATCTCTGCACATTCATTGCCTGAGAGCTTAAGATATTAATGAGATCGCCATCAAATGACAGGCAACTTGAAGGTACGCTCATGATTCATTCTATTTTGGTATTTTATGTTAAGCTGCTTTGAGTCTCCTTCAGGAGAGATAAAGCAGGGTATAAATAAATATAATGATGATGAGAATAATAATTTGTACAATATGGATCCCTCCTCAACCCATCAAGAGATGTACTTTTTAGTTCATGTCAGGAGCAACTTGAGAAACTCCAAGTTGCTCTGATGGGAGAGAATTGGCTGTCTGTAAGGATGCTGTCCAGGGGGATGCCCAGATGTGTTACCATCTTGTGGGGGGCTTCTCTCATGTCTCCGCATTGGAAGCTGGAGCTATCAGGAGATCACCCTGCTCGCCGGATTTGAACTGCCAACCTTTCGGTCGACCAGTCCTGCCGGCACAAGGGTTTAACCCATTGCGCCACCAGGGGCTCCTAACAGATGTACTTGTAAGTGGGAAAGGAGAACAAAACATGTTGCAGGCAGAATCTGGAGTTGTCAGCTTCCGTCACTGAAAAGCCCACATAGGTCCCTTGCAATTGTGAAGTTCTCTGAGACCCTGACCATTTTCATGCTTCCTGTAATACATGCCCTCAGGGCTAGCAGCCAACTTCTTCTTTTTCTAACAGGGGTCTTTTCAAAGCTCAAAAGATTTGAGAATCCTGAACTTGATACCATAGATCCTCCACTGCCCTAGCAAAGTGAGACACATGGATTCCCTAGAGCAGTGGTTCTCAACCTGTGGGTCCCCAGATGTTTTGGCCTTCAACTCCCAGAAATCCTAACCGCTGGTAAACTGGCTGAGATTTCTGGGAGTTGTAGGCCAAAACACCTGGGGACCCACAGGTCGAGAAACACTGCCCTAGAGAATGCTTAGAGAAGATGGACTTTTAAGAGACCAGGATAAAAAAAGGAGCTGCCATTCAATTGCCACCCCTTGCCTTACTTCCAGGTGCCAGTCTTAGTAAAAAGTACAACCTATTTAGCCTCCGCCTTGTTTCCCACTCCTCTAAGAGACCTTCCTTCACAAACACTTACTCTGCATCCTCCTCTTCCTCCTTGATCAGTGCTGGGGAAACAAAAGGCAGGGTCACAAGTTACTATGCTGATGTCAAATGAAAGCAAGGGCTACTCCACCCTGTTGACTGCATCACTCGCCAGCAGCTGGAAACTCTCACCCTCAATGTCATCAAGCTCCCGGGGCCTGGTCCAACGTGACTCTTTGGTCTGAGTGTTGTAGTAATAGGGCTTTCCAGTCTCCGAGCGGTACTCACGCCAGGGGCAGCGAGACAGCAAGAGCTAAAGAGACACAAAAAAGGAGTTGCGAAGAATGAGGGAGCAGGCAGGGTCACCAATATGTAGGAAATGCCTGTTATGAAATGCTTGAAAGGAAACTACCTTTCTGGAGTGAAGGAGGTCCTGGGGGTGGAAATCCCTAATTTTACAACATACAGCTGCGAATTGTCTAGCCATCAGGCCATGCACATCTCTTGGCTCCTCTAATTCCCAAGGATGACCCCATCCCATGTTCATGTAAATAAAATTCAACCCAAATATCCACTTGTAAGCCTTTTTCTTTGGAGGTTGGGGGATCACCTCCAAAGATGGGATGTAAATAAAATAAAACAAAATAAAAAAATTCTCTCAAGAAAATTGCAGTTGTATATTCCTGCATCGTAGGTTAGACTAGATGATCCTTGCAATCCGTTCAAATTGTGATTCTACAAAAATATGACAATTTCCTCCAAACCTCCCTCCCAAACACCAATTCTAGTGGGGTCCCTTCATGGGCTTTACTTTTTGGAGGTTTTTTTTTTTTTTTTAAACAGAGGCTGTATGGATATATCTCAAGGACTAATTCTGATATGGAATCGACTGAACAAGATCTTGTAGCTTTCCAGCAGATAGATGGTTAATCTTTGGGGTGCCTTCCAGTGCAACCAATCTCGATTATTTGACTAGCCAAAGATGGTCTCCTTGTAATTTCCACCAACATCTTAGAGCCCTGCTTTCTGGCACAGCAGAGACTTCTGAGTGACAATTCTTGAAATGTTTGAAGACAATTGTCCTGTTGCTTCTTAATCTCTCTCTTCTGCAACTTCTGCTTGCCCAGTTTTTTCAACTGCTTCCACTTGAAATGGCTTTCCATACTTTTCACCTTCTTCTTTTCATTTTTGGAAATGCAGTAACAACAAGTGCCATTAGAGGTATTTTGAAAAAGCCCACCTCGGCATTGTTGCCTTTCAGTTGCTGTCTGCAGACTGCCATCCTTTACCTATCGCTCTGCGCAGGCAAACCAACAAGTGGCAGGAAATCATACCTGCCAAATGCCCACGGCTACCTAGAGTTCTCACCTCAGCCTTGGACTTGAGCTCATCTGGCTTTTCCCAACTTGATTGTTTGGTTTCAGAATTGTAATAATATACCCGTCCATCAGGAGCTCTGTGCTCACTCCATGCAGGCTTCTGCAAAGGGAAGGAATAAATGGACTTTAAATCAGGGGTAGAACAAGCTCCTTTTGCACAGAACCAGGGCATTTATATCCTCCCACTACTCTAGAACAAAAACTTTGTATAATTCAAGAATTTAAAAAAAATCCAATTTTTAATAAATAAATAAATAAATAAACATAAATTTCTAGCCCTTATGAAGATGAGCTTCAAAGCGATCCTTGTCTTTATCAGGAGTTCAATTGTTTGTATTGGATGAACGCCAGCATCCCCACTAGTGGGACTCAGAGACCATCCACCCTGCAAAAACAAACAAAAAAACCCCCAACAGTTTGATACCACTTTGATTGCCATGGCTCCGTCCCATGGAATCCTGAGATTATTGTATTGAGATTATTATGGTGTTTATTTATTTATTTTACAGTATTTATGCCCCACCCTTCTCAACCCTGAAGGGGGCTCAAAGCGGCCTTACAAAAGGCAACAATTCAATTCCATATACACAACAGACGTAGAATAAACATATACGTTAAAACATGAATTTAAAAATCATATCAAGATTAAAACACATTATTAAAACCACGCAATCCGAGATCATGGTCAAAAAGCCATTCCAATTGTCATTGCACATTTTCCACCATCACTTATTGCACTGCAGTAATGGCCAAAGGCTTGGTGTTGTGGCACCAGAATTCAGAAAAGGGTAAATAGTTCACAAAACTACAAACCTCACAATTCCATACTATTTAGCCATGGCAGTTAATGTGGTGTGAAGGTACTATATTTCTGTAGAGTGAATACAGTCTCAGTAACCCCCAGCATGTTTAATGCCTCACAATAGTTCCACTAAAGCAGTGGTTCCCAACCTGTGGTCCGTGGACCACCAATGGTCCACAAGAACTAAAATATGGTCTGTGACTTCAATGTTACTACACTGTTGCAATTAGAGCGTCTGGTCTCACAAAACCCTCTTACAGTGCCGAGCCTTAATAATAATAATAATAATAATAATAATAATAATAATAATAATAAACTTTATTTATACCCTGCCACCATCTCCCCAAGGGACACGGAGTGGCTTACATGAGGCCAAGCCCGACAACAAGCCTTATTAAATATGGTTTTCTGTGAGTGAGCAGATGGTGACTACAAGATGGCATATGATCTTTATCAGAAACTAGAGCTGATGTGGTCTATCCAATGCAGTTTTCTGAATCAGCACCCCAAATAACCAAACCAAATGTAAAGCTGATCAAAAACTGATTTGCAACCCTTTTGGTAATAATGTTGGAGAGTGGCGCCTGGTCAAAGTAGTCTCCAGTCAAAAGTGGTCACTGGTTAAAAAAAGGTTGGGAACCACTGCACTAAAGCAAGAGTAAGTAGACTGCAAAGTCCACTTGTTTTACCCCCTCCCCCCCTTTATTACAATATTCAGCCAGAGCCTTGGAATTAGAATCCTGAACCTAGGACTCTGTTCTCAGTATCAGAACTCACAGTCCTGCCAAGTAAAAAAACACATTGCAAGTTATTCCAAGCTCTCTCAATTTCAGAAGACTAATTTAGGGCTCTGTGTAGGCATATGTATGAGTCAGAGACTTTGTAGCTACTATCCTTGAGCACTCAGAAGCCTGAAAACCTTGGAAACCTACCGCCAATAATCACTCAACAGATCCTACTCTACCTCCCAACCATTCCTACTCTAAATCTACAGAGATCACTTCCCCTGCCATGGAGATTTCCTGGACAGTGCATTGCTTTCCAGAGCAGTACAAGTGAAGGTGTATCACTGGATACATCCACACTGCAGGATTAATACAGTTTGACACCACTTTAACTGCCATGGCTCAATGCTATGGACTCATGGGAGTTGCAGTTTGGTGAGGCACCAGCACTCTTTGGCAAAAAAAGGCTGAAGATCTTGTAAAACTGCAATTCCCTGGCTCCCATAGTACTGAGCCAAGGCAGTTAAAGTGGTGCCAAACTGTATTATTTTTCAGTGTAGTTGCACCCATTATTGCCATCCTGAGATGTTGTCACCAGGCACTTATGACCTCTGCAATTCTGTTTATGACCTTTGGTTTGGTGCTGCCGTAAATCGCAAACAGTTGTGTTACCTTCCGCCCTGTTTCCAGTGCTGGGGAGCCACTGACGATGACATTCTGTTGCATGGCCCCTGTCAATGGACAGGGGATCTGGATGGGAAAAAGGAAAATCACATCAAGAACTAGAAAATGACTTTCATGGAACAGAGATAAATGGCTGGAATTGTTCTTTCTTGCAGGGAAGAATGAAATCTGTGAAAAATTACATTCTTGTTCCCAGGTCCCTAAATTGTGTTCTACATGACAGTTGTTCACTCAAGCATTGGCTATGGCAACAAAAAAGAAGCACTGCAGCCTGTGTGATGTTGATAGATGGCAACCCCACCAGAAAATGCACAGGAAAGCATTTGAATTGCTTACAAGGAAAGAGCAGCAATTCAGCATTTGATTTCTATCCACACTCCTTTAAAAAAACACAAACATGGTAAAAGGATTTTGGCCAATCACTCACCACCGGTGCTGCTTGAGTTACAGTGGCTGCAAGAGAAAAAGGAAGCAGAAATTAGGAAGTGGCATGGTTGTGGCCCACCAAAGAGAAGAGGCTGCAGATTGTGAAGGCAGCGAAATGAGGCGGTAGAAAGCGTTAGAGCAGTGGTTCCTAACCTTTGTTCCTCCAGTCATTTTGGACTCCAACTCCTAGAAATTTCACCCATCTTACCAGCTGTTAGGAATTGTGGGAGCTGAAATCCAGAAACACCTGGAGGAACCACTGCATTACAGCACTGGAGATTCGTTACTCCAGGAACAAATCTCAATTTGTTTCTGGAGATTGCATGGAGAACCATGTCAACTAGACTAATCTTCATTGAGAGTCATTATTTATCATTCATTTGTTCAATTTGCACCCCACTTTTTTCCTGGCAGAGGAGCCAAAGCAGCCTGCAATACATGTTGAGAAATCCTTATCCAAAATGCCTGGGACTGGAAGGATTTGGGATCTCAGATTTTGGAATACCCATATTTCCATATATATGTACGTAATGAGATTTCATGGAGGCAGGATCCAAATCTCAACATGAAATTCATGAATACATATACATATAGCCTAAAGATAATTTTACACAATATTTTTCAAATAATGTTATGCTTAAAAAGGTTTATGTACATTAAACCATTGGAAATCAAAGGCGTCATCATCTCAGCTACTCTGTGGACATAATTTGGGGTTTGGCTATTTAAAATAAATGCTGCTCAACCTGTATTTAAAAATATAGGTTTAATTATAATTATATAGGCCCTTGGTGGTGCAGTGGCTTAAACCGCTGAGCTGCTGAACTTGCTGACTGAAAGGTTAGCGATTCGACTCCGGGGAGCAGGGTGAACTCCCACTGTTATGCCCAGGTTCTGCCAACCTAGCAGTTCAAAAACATGCAAATGTGAGTAGATCAATAGGTACTGCAAATGTGAGTAGATCAATAGGCAAGGACGCTCCATGTAGCCATGCTGGCCTGTAGACACATGAGGTGTCTACAGGCAATACCGGGTCTTCAGCTTAGAAATGGAGATGAGCACCATCCCCCAGAGTTGGACACGACTAGACTTGTTGGGCTGAGCTGAACTTCAGCATCTGTAGCATTGGTCCATCCCTGTGCACTGATGGGAGATGCTGTCTAGCAACCTCTAGAAGGGGAATTTTCACAGAAATGCACCAACTGCTCCTGATCTGAATGTGCTTTAAATACATTTGGAACACATCTATGGGATCCTTACCATTGGATGGGTCAGTCACAGGAGCTGCCTGTCAAAGAGAAATCAAGAAGGTTGAACTCAATTCCCTGCCAACACCGGAGAATATTCTAATACCATCCCCACGACCAAGTGTGTGAAAAGGGCTTAGCAGGGTCACTTGGGGGCATCTACACTGTGCCATCAATCCAGTTTGACATCACTTTAACTATCTTGACTCAATGATATAAAATCCTGGGATTAGCTGCTTTATAAGGTCTTCAGTCTTAACTGTCAAAAAGTGCTCGTGCCTCACCAAACTACAACTCCCAAGGACTCCATAGCATTGGGCTACAAAGTGGTGTCAAGTTGCAATAATACAGCAGGTGAAGAAGAACACAAGGAGAGAAAGTTTGCCCATAATAACAATAACAACAACAATAAAGTTGTTTATTTTCATACCCTGCCACCATCTCTCCAAAGGGAGTGGCTTACATGGGGACAAGCCCAAATCACAAGTAAAAACGACAGCATTAAAATCAATCAATAAAAACATAACACAAACACATCAACCATCCTAGTAGGCTCAGGCAAAAGTAAACTGCTGCAGCCTCTCCTAGAGTACATCCCCACTGTGGAATTAAGATAGTCTGGCTTCAACTGCGATGGCTCAATGCTATGGGACCCTTGGAGTTGTGGTTTTACAAGGTCTTTGGCCTTCTCTGCAAAAGACTGATAATGCCTCACTAAACTACAAATCCCAGGATTCCATAGCATTGAGCCATAAAGTGGTGTTAAACGGCATTTATTTTGCAGTAAATTCAACCTTAGAGCAGAAAAGTAGCTAACAGTGCAGGGGAGGGGGATAAGTATATGGATTTGCCACACACAGACACCACTTCTTCTCTCAAAACCACTGAAATATGGTGTTGTTTGAGTTTTTTATAACTCTTGGATCATTGACTGTTTACTTTCAACATGGTTAATCTTGCAACCCACAACTCCTCTCCATAGGCCAGTAAATGCTGTCTCACTGTCCTGGGCCAAATTGATAACATGACCCACGATAGCAGCCACCATTTGGAAATCTCAAACTCCCATAATAGTCCACCTTCTGTCTGAGAACAAAACTGGGGAATACTCCTTTTAGGACTACAATTCCCCAAATCCCAGTCACCATTCTGGCAGAGGGAACTCTGGGAGCTGGGACCACGGCTCTATTCAAGAGCATCATGTGTCAGCCCCCAAATGCAATGGAGCACTTCAACACTGACATGGCCACTACAAGATATATGCAATCCCACCCTGCCTTCAGTTGCTTTCTCCTGTAATGTTCAGGCAGAGAGCAGAAACTGGCAGAGATCAAGGAGCCTCCTGGTCTTATCACAGAATGCCAACAAATTCCAAGGATGACTGTCATTTCTGGCACTCATGGATGGGACAACACCAGCCTGTGGGAAAGGGGCTCTCCTGCTTAACCCAATAAATTTTTGTCACCTCTGATCAATGATGAGGATAAGAGATGACCTAAGAACTGAGCTGTGAGAAACCTGTGGTGCTACCAATGAATTCTGTTTTTGTTTGGTAAGAAATAGGGCTTACTTCTGAGTAAAGACAGATGTGAGATCTCTTTTTGTATCATTGGTGGAGAAATCTCGACATTGGTAAGAACTATCCCTGGTAAGAGAAAATCAAGCCCAAACCTTTCCTAGAAGCCAAAAAGACGAATTTGATGCTACTGTACTTGGGAGGTATCATGAGAAGACTGGACTCATTTGAAATATGATGATGATGATGACGCCTGACAAGTTGGAAGGTGGCAGGAGAAAAGAAGACTGTTTTGCACTCTTCTTTTTTCCTACCTAAAGAGGCTCCGGCCCTGAATTTGCATAACCTGAGCAAGATAGGTAATGATAGGTAATATCTTGGAGATATTTCATTCATGTGGATGTGGATGCCACAAGTCAAAGCTGACTTGACAGCAACCACTATGTAACACAATTTTTGTTTCTGGATTAGAAATGTATTTTTCTAATTGGTTCTATCATAAAAACACAGAAAAGGTTTATTAAACTAGAAAAACTTTGTTTTTTGTTTTTGCGGGACACCCTGCAGCATATTTTGCTATAGTTTTTCAATGAATATCTGATAAGAGTTTCAACCAATTCAACATAGCCACAAAAATTAAGTTTCTGGAGTATAACAACTACTTTCAAAGTACGTACCGCACAATTAAACAGAAAAGAACACTTTCAAACAGGAACATATTTTTTTCAAATTGTGTTACATTATTAACATATATCTGGTCTCATTCCCCACCATATGATCCTGTCAGTCATATCAATATTACTGTTATCATCACCGTCATCAGTATTGTTGAGTTGCTGGTTAATTCATATTTCCTCAAACTTTTCCTTAAAACCAGGACTCAAGGAAGCTTACAAAAATTAAAACAAATACTTGAAGTGCATAGCAGGAGCTAAGTAATAACATACAAGAAGTGATTAATACAATGCCACTGATCTAGCTATAGAATGAAAACAATTTGAAACAGATCCATCCAAAGACAAAGGATGAAAGTCAACAAAAAAAGGCATGCTGTTAAAAACCCGTTGGAAGACATGCACACCTCATGACTCTTTCTAACTGAAGCACGTCCTCTACTCGCACCCTACTCTCTAACTCCCTTGAGCCCCTGCTCCTCCCAGATACTCACCCCTCCAGTGACAGGAACAGGCCCCGCTGGCACCCCAGGCATCATCATCCCAGGCAGCATGGGTGGCACCATTGTGGGAATCTGGGAACAAAAGGTAACACCTTACATATTATGGAAGCGATGGGCCAGAGAAACAAACCAAGTTGCTATGAATGGTTCTTACCTGCCCCAAAGGTGGCGGTCCAGGCATGGGTGGGATCATTGGGGGAGGTGGCATCATACCTGGGGGCATGGGTGGCATGGGGGGTGGGCGTGGTCCCATTGGGGGCAATCCCATTGGGGGAAAGGGTGGCGGGATCCCAGGAGGAGGCATCTAGAAACATGGAGAAAGAACCAAACATGGTCAGCCCCAGTGACAGGAATTCAAAAATTCAGTCCAGTGGTTCTCAACCTATGTGCTCCCAGATGTTTTGGCCTTTAACTCCCAGAAATCCTAACAGCTGATAAACGCATCCCCACCCCCATGAACCACCATGGAGATTAAGATCCTCCGGGGAGGCCCTGCTTTCCGTCCTGCCATTGTCACAGGCGAGATTTGTGGGAACAAGAGACAGGGCTTTCTTGGTGATTGCTATGGAACTCCCTTCCTGGTGAGATCAGGTCGGCCCCCTCCCTCCTGTCCTTTAGAAGGATGGTAAAAACTTGGCTGTGGGGCCAAGCTTTTGGGACAGGGCAATAAAGCAGCAATAGGAAAGATTACCAGGCCAATTAGATTTGATGCTATTGACTAGGATGGTTTTAAATGGTGTATTTTAATATTGAGATAAATGTTTTTAATGTTTATGTATGCGTATATGAATTTGTGTCCCGGAATTGAATGCTTGCTGTATATATGCTGTGCTCCGCCCCGAGTCCACTTCGGGGTGAGAAGGACGGAATATAAATGTTTAAAACAAACAAACAAACAAACAAATAAAATAAACTGGCTGGGATTTCTGGAAGTTGTAAGCCAAAACATCCAAAACATAGGTTGAAAACCACTGATTTAGTACAACGTATCCTGAGCTAACTAGATCAGACAATAAGAAGGAACTACTTTCACATGGTAATCCACACAACAGCATACATGCTTTCTCTTTTCACATAGAAGTCTTACTACCACAAACATGGGTAACCAGTAGCTGACATTCTGGTAATAGTCACCAGTCCATGCTTTAGCCATGGTGTGCCAGGCTGTGACCCCAGTCAAGAAAAAAAAAATGCAGAAACATTAATTTAAGAATTTCCAGGTATTTTCTTGGCCATCTCCCGTGGAATATACTTTGTGATCCATCTTTCCAGGAAAATACTTCCATTTCGTAGTGAGCAGCACAAAACCAAAAAGTTTTGGAAGATTTGTTTGACTGATATTTAAGAGTCCAAACAATCTGAAGTTGGAAGAGAAGGTAGGCCGGAAGGATCAACGGTCCCCCAAGAGGGCTACAGCATCACTCCCAACTTTGGGAGTTAATGAGGGGCAACATACTTTTATAGCAGCTTGGGTATTCAGGAAACATATTTTGGCTGGAAAATTTGTGACATGGTGCAGGGGATGGCAACAGGGGATGTGGCTCTACTGGGACAGTGGCCCATACTGGAGATACGTTCTGTATTTCCCTCGTGTCATGCCCACATGTGTTCCAAATCCCCAAAGTACCATAATGCTCTTTATCAACCTCATACCACTCCCATTCACACATGCGCTGTCTGCATTGTGGATGAGCAAACAGCTGAAATGCAAACTGGACAGTGAATAACTTACAAAGGGAGGAGGCAGAATTGGTGGCGGTGGCGGAGCAGGGGGAAACGGGGCCGGCTGCCCAGGAGGAGGGCCACTGCCTGAATCTGGTGCTGACTGCAAAGGAAGATGGAGAGAGAGGTTAAAAGTGATGTTCACTCTTAGGGCCCTTCCACACAGTCCTATATCCCAGAATATCAAGGCAGGAAATCCCACATTATCTGAGTGTGGACTCAGATAACCCAGTTTAAAGTAGATATTGTGGGATTTTCTGTTTTGGTATTCTGGAATATAGGGCTGTGAGGAAGGGCCCTTAGATGCTGACTTTTGTAGCTAAAGTGTACCATTGTGGCCCTCTACACAATTTAGAAGTGCAACTCTCATTGGTTCCAATTAATAAAGGAATCCAAAGGAAAAACAAAATATGTGAAGGGCCACATACTGTTACAAGCACATGCACACACACGGACATTATAGAGCAGAGGTGAAAATTACCGGGCTTCATCTCCCAGCATTCCTCACCACTGGCTGTGCTGGTTGGTGGTGGTGAGAACTGCAGATTCTCAACATCTGGAGAGCCCTATGATTCCCACCTCTAGATCAGAGATCACCCTTACATCCCACCTGGAAATTGCCTTCTTCTCTCCTATATAAGTCAAGGACCCAAATTGTGAGAGGGATTGTGATGGAACCAAATATAATTAGTTCTCTTGTACTTCTGGGGTGGAAGGGATCTCACTTTGCTGAAAGCATAATACATTTTGCTGTCCATTTCTCACCAGGCTCAATTTATCACCATAAATTGTAACATGGGAAGCTGCCTTGCTCCAAGCCATCTATCAAGTGTAGGACTGTCTGCATTAAATGCAGAAACCCTTCAGGGTTTTTCCTAGTCTTAATTAGGTATAGCAGGGACTGAACTGGGACTTCGCACACTCAAAACAAGGGCTCCGTCACACTATTGTGCTTTGCACTTTTAAGGCAATTGGTATGTTAACAGGAATGCATTTGACTACAGATCTTCAAATTCAGCAACTCACCCAACAGAGCCAATGGCAAGGACTTATAGGCCCAAACATCCTACATAATCTATGGGGATTTATCTGCATGTAACTTCAATTCCACCTCTCATCATTAATCTTGTTCCCAGCTTCCTCTTCAGAGGGGTCTTTTCAGTACTAAAGTGGTGCTTCTTGTGTCAAAGAACAGTTTGAGGATCACAGAATCATAGAGTTGGAAGATACCTTGTGGGCCATCCAGTCCCTCAGACGTGTTTTGTATATCCATTTGTATATTCACCACACACAGAGATTTTTTCATGCGGGTATATACACATCTATCAAACTTCCTCTGTCTGCTCTTATAGATTTATTTGCGTTGGCCATCTTCAGGATGGCATCCATCACAGAGGCTTCCTCATTTGTTTGTTTAATGGTTTGTCGCCTTTAGATTAACATCAGTGGTTCTCAACTTTTGGCCTTCCAAATATCTGAGATTTCTGAAGTCCCTCTCAGGGCCCTTCCACACAGCCATATCACCCAGATTATCAAGGCAGAAAATCCCACAATATCCGTTCTGAACTGGGTTATCTGAGTCCACACTGCAATATATCCCAGTCCAAAGCAGAAAATGTGGGATTTTATTCTGCTATGTGGAAAGGAGTCTCCGTTTGGTTAAAGTTTAGACATTATAAGAAGGAAGCCACAAACATCTGAAGAGCAAAGGCTGAGAATCAGTGACCCACAAAAAACAAGGGCGAGAAACTTGTAGCCCGAGGGTTGCATTCTGTTTTACAGAAGCTATTTGGGGCCTCATTCCAGGGGTGGGAAGGGCCCCAGGGTGGGACCAAAAACACAGCATGTTTTATCTTCAACTTTTTGGTGCCAGTTAACTAAACCTTGCAAAAGATGCGTCAGCCTGTTAGAAACACCTAACATGGTTAATGTCACTGTAAAAGGAATGTGGGCACCACAATGACCCAGCCTGGGACCCCAAAAAGTTCTGGATTCAGTCCCAAGGCTGGAGATCCCCCACTCCTGATACTGATGGGAAGAACAAAGGGGACATTTAGAGATTCGGCATGTCCTTGTGGATATAAATGCAAACATGTCCACTGCCTCATTTGTGCATCCAGGGGTAGTTCTATACTGACCACTTAATGCAGTTTGAAGGTAGCTTGACATTGTGGTATTTAGATGATGCATACCATGAATGCACGCAGCAATGCACATTAAGGACTTTATATCACAAGGGTAAGGAAAAATTTGAAACAGAGCCCATAATAAAACGGATTAAGCGACAAGTATTCTGGCGATCCGCTGGTGCACATTGTGGTAGGAAAAACCGAATTCCTCTGCAGTGCATACAAGCACCATCCAGGCCTTGAACTGGTTTCAGCAATTCACATGTAATCATCTGCACATTGAAATGGTTTCCTCATCTGTTGGTTTCACACCAAACTAAATGGTCAGTGTATGTGTGCTCCAGGTCTCAAAGCCTCCATTTACACTCCCCATTTAATACTGTTGGAAGCTAGCTTCAACCTATGGTGAGCGTGCAGCGATTTCCCACAAAAGGGTTAAAAAAAAAAAGTCCTCGGAACACTTCAGTGTTTTGTAGTTTGTATAATCACCCTCTGGATCTCACACAGGATTTCCTAGAGCAGTGGCTCTCAACCTGTCGGTCTCCAGATGTTTTGACCTTCAACTCCCAGAAATCCTAACAAGTGGTAAACTGGCTGGGATTTCTGGGAGTTGTAGGCCAAAACACCCAGGGACCTGCAGGCCTAGAGAATTATCTGCACGGTGAAACTGGCTTCTCCCAAGCTGGTTCCAAACTGGTTTAAATGGTGAGTGCAGATGTGCCCTAGAGTGTGACTGCCTTCATCCTGACACATGTCAGTGTATGCCTGTTAACAGGCATACTGGCATCCACATGTTTCATTCATTGCTGTGCACTCGTTCCTGTAGACTTGTAGTTCCCAATCTTCGGTTCTCCAGTTGTTTTGGACTTCAACTCCCAGAAATCCCAGCCATTTACCAGATGTTAGGAATTGAGCTGAAGGCCTAAACACTTGGAGGACCAAGGGTTGAGGAGGACTTCAGTAGATCCTGAAAGATTTGTGCAAGCGCTCAGATCCGAGAAAAGACAGGCTTGGGCTGCAAGGGCTTGGATTCCTGCTTGGTGGGTTAAAACCCTGCGCCGGCAGGACTGAAGACCAACAGGTCGCACGTTCGAATCCGGGGAGAGCGCGGATGAGCTCCCCCTGTCAGCTCCAGCTTCTCATGCGGGGACATGAGAGAAGCCTCCCACAAGGATGATAAAACATCAAAACATCCAGGCGTCTCCTGGGCAACATCCTTGCAGATGGCCAATTCTCTCAAATCATGGAATGGTGAAAAGATGTGGTCTCAACTCAAGTTGCGTCTACACTGGTCGTGTGATACCGTTCAAAGCTAGCTTGGAACTGCAGCGGCTTGGCACCAAGCTCCCACGGAAGCGTGCAAAAGGAAGCCCTTAATGAGCTTCAGTGCTCTATGGTTTTTGTAATCACCAACCTGGCCTGCAGGATTTCCTATGCAATCACTTGCACAGTGAAACCACCTAAGTTGAGAGTGTGGATAAGGTTTGAAACCGCATTAAAGGGTGTGGGTGAGGAATCAGACCAAAATTGGTGGAGTACTTTGTGGTCCAGCCTCAAAGTCTCAACTGATCTGGAAAATGGAGCTAACACAGGCATGGGCAAACTTTGGCCTTCCAGGTGTTGTGGACCGGTAGGCTGTTAGGAATTGTGGGAGTTGTAGTCCAAAACACCTGGAAGGCCAAAGATTGCCCATGCCTGAGCTAACACCACTTAATGCTTTATCCACACACCCCTCCTCCTTTGCACGTGTGGATTGCATGTTGTATGTGTGTGTGCATGCATTTGTGCCACTTTGCAGCGCCCTTCCCTCCCACCCCAGAGGTGCCTGTAGGCCTGCATCCAGGGGGAGATGCAGAGGGAGGGGGCGCTGGCGATGGGGAGGGGAAGTGGCTCAGGAAGTAGCCATAGCCCCCCTCTCCCTCCCAATCCGGGCCTCCCCTTGCAAGCCCTGCGCCCATTCTGCAAGCCCCTTTTTGCTTTCCTTTTTTGCCAAAGAGATCATCTTCTTGGAGGGGGAGAAGGGGGCAGAACAAAGCGGGGAGCTTACCATGGCCGAGGCTGCTGGGATCAGCTGGGCGATGGGGCTGCAGCTCAGCCCACCAGGCAGTAAGGGAGGCTGCGATTGGAGGAGAGGCAGAAGGAGGGAGAGATAGAGAGAGGGAGGGATGGAGAGAGGGAGGGAGAGGGAGGAGAGGCAAGACTAGCAAACCAGAGAAGGCACAGAGGAGAAGCAGGAGGCAAGGAGCATCCCATGATTTTGCTCTAATTCTCCTCTGGACCAGACCTTTCTTAACATCTTAAGGCCCTTCCACACAGCCATTTCACCCAGAATATCAAGGCAGAATAACCCACAATATCTGCTGTGAACTGGGAGCTCTTCCACACAGCCCTATATCCCAGAATATCAAGGCAGGAAATCCCAATTGTGGACTCAGATAACCCAGTTCAAAGCAGATTTTGTGAAATTTTCTACCTTGATATTCTCGGATATAGGGCTGTGTGGAAGGGCCCTGGGATATAGGGCAGTGTGGACTTGGATAACCCAGTTCAAAGCAAAGGGAAGTCTGACTGGGCCACGGTGGCCCACGCTTTGGTTACATCCCGTTTAGATTACTGCAACACTCTCTACGTGGGGTTGCCTATGAAGACTGCCCGGAAGCTCCAACTAGTCCAACGTGCAGCAGCCAGAATGCTAACATGAGCAGGGTACAGGGAGCATACTACTCCTCTGTTGCACCAGCTCCACTGGCTGCCAATTAGCTTCCGACCACAATTCAAAGTGCTGGTGTTAACGTATAAAGCCCTAAATGACTCCAGCCCACTTTACCTGTCCGAACGTATTCTCCCCTATGAACCATCTAGGTTGTTAAGATCGTCTGGAGGGGCCCTGCTCTCGGTCCCACCAGCCTCTCAGGTGCATCTGGTGGGGACGAGGGACAGGGCCTTCTTGGTGGTGGCCCCTCGACTCTGGAACTCTCTCCCACTGGAGATCAGAACTGCCCCCTCCATTCTGTCGTTCAGAAAACGGGTGAAAACCTGGCTATGGGGTTTGGCTTTCGACGAGTGAATCAATATTTCTGGGATCGGATAGATGACGATGGATGATGGACAACGAATTCACTATGACGACTGACCATTATTATTATATGATTGCATTTTGCTGTTATAACGTTTTAATTGAATATGTTATATGATTTTTTAATGATTGTTTTATGATTTTATTGTTGGAAACCGGCCCGAGTCCCCCGATAGAGGGGAGAAGACCGGTATACAAAATTGCTAAATAAATAAATAAATAAATATTATGGGATTTTCTGCCTTGATATTCAGGGATATAGGGCTGTGTGGAAGGGCCCTGGTTTATCTGAGCCCACACTGCCATATATCCAATTTCAAAGCAGAAAATGTGGGTTTCTATTCAGCTGTGGGGAAGGGGCCTTAGGGGCAATTTGTACTGACCATTTAGTGCAGTTCCAGACAGTGGTTTCACCATGCAGATGGTAGTTGCTGGGACATCTACACTGTTGTGTTAATGCAGTTCAGCACCACTTTAATTTTTGATTTTAAACCCTCCAAATAGATACATCCTCTGTTCATGTCCAGCATTTATTTTTAAAGTTTTAACTATTACATTTGGCCCAGCCATAGATTTTTAAATACTCATGTTTATTGTCTACCTGTGAATTATATTAATTGTATTGTTTACTTTGTTTATTGCTTGTTATTTTATACTGCTTGTTGTTTTTGGTGTGTTGTTGGGCTTGGYCTCATGTAAGCCGCTCCGAGTCCCTTGGGGAGATGGAGGCGGGGTATAAATAAAGAGTTTTTAAAATATTATTATTATTATTATTATTATTATTATTATTTAACTGCCATGGATCAATGTTATGGCATCATGGGAGTTGCAGTTTGGTAAAGCACCAGCCATCTTTGGCAGAGAAGGCTAAAGACCATAGGCCCTTCCACACTGCCTTATATCCCAGAATATCAGGGCAGAAAATCCCACAGTATCTGCTTTGAACTGGGTTATCTGAATCCACACTCAGATAATGTGGGATTTTCTTCCATGATATCCTGGGATATAGGACTGTGTGGAAGGACCCCTTGTAAAACTAGAACTCCCAGGAATCCATAGCTTTGAGCCATGGTAGTAAAAGTGGTGTCAAAGGTCCCTTCCACACTGCCATATAACTCAGAATATCAGGGCAAATAATCCACAATATCTGCTTTGAACTGGGTTATCTGAGTCCGCACTGCCATATAATCCTGTTCAATGTGGATTTTATACAGCTGTGTGGAAGGCGCTAGACTAGGGCCCTTCCACACGGCTCTATATCCCAGGATATCAAGGCAGAAAATCCTACATTATCAGTGTGGACTCAGATAACCCAGTTCAAAGTAGATTTCTGCCTTGATATTCTGGGATATAGGACTGGGTGGAAGGGTCTCAAATTAATTCACCCATAGGAAATCCTGGAACTGGTTTGAGGCCTGTATGTTGGTTTCAGAAACCACAGAGCGCTGATGTAACTTGAGCATTTGTTTTTCGAACGCCGCAGATTGAAGACAGCTAGCTTCAAACTGCATTAAATTGTCAGTGTAGATGGGGCTCTTGACTAACTGAAAGAAATCTCAGTCTCAAAAGGTGCGTCTACCCTAGGCTTGGGCAAACTTGGGCCCTCCAGATGTTTTGGACTTCAACTCCCATCATTCCTAACAGCCTCAGGCCCTTTCCTTTTCCCCCTCAGCCTATTTTTTCCTGTCAAAATAATAAAAAAGGGGGGGGGGGGAACTGGCTCCATGACTGTGCATAAGAGGACTGTGTGATACAGTACTTGTAATTGTCTAAAATTTGGGTAGAAAACCACTGTTTTGTGCTCTGAAAGATTACCAGGCGGGGGCGCCATATATCCCCGTACATAAGCAAAAGCATCTTTTCCTCTGTAAGATTAAGGAATGATATTTTCAAACCCTTATAGCATCCTTGAGCTTCTTTCGGCTCTCTGAGAGCAGGCATTAATGCTGTTAAAGCCAGGATAGGAAAAGTGCAGCCCTACAAGCATTTGGCAACAGGCCATAAGGACATCTTCCTCCTCGGCCCTTTTTACTGCACCAAGGAGATATTTTATTTTTAACGTTTGAGCCTGTTGTGAGTGCATTGTTAAGATCGGGAGAGGAAGTTAGACCAGAGAAGGCCAAGCAGTGCTCTTGAGCTTGGCGTAAAGGTCAGATATAATCCCTTTGACAGGAAGCTATTGTTTATTACATTTACTTTTTTTTTACTTCAAAAGCAAAGGCACATTATGAATGGTTGGAATTCAACCCCACACTGCCCAAGTCTCAAGTCCTCAATGAGGAACAGTCTAGTTAGTTTAGTATTGACTAAGGCAGGGGTCCTCAAACTAAGGCCCGAGGGTCAGATACGGCCCTCCAAGGTCATTTACCCGGCCCTCACTCAGGGTCAACCCAAGTCTTGAAAGCACACAACAACAACAACAACAACAACATTTCTATCTCATCAGCCAAAAGCAGGCCCACACTTTCCACTGAAATACTAATAAGTTTATATTTGTTACAATTGTTCTTCATTTTAATTATTGTATTGTTTTAAAGTGTTTTTTGCACTACAAATAAGATATGTGCAGTGTGCATAGGAATTCATTCATGTTTTTTTTTTTTCAAATTATAATCCGGACCTCCAACAGTTTGAGGGAATGTGACCTGGCCCTCTGTTTAAAAAGTTTGAGGACCCCTGGACTAAGGGTTTCCCTTCCCCCATGTCTCCTGAATGACAGCTGGGAATATATCTATTTTGTTCTTCTCTCTCTGTTTCTGCTCTCATTCTGATTGGTTGTGTAAAATGAATACTTTTCTTCCCTCAAGCTTTCTGAAATCTGATTTTTGCTTTCTTACACCCTGGTCAGATATTTAAAAAAAAATTATATCCTACCATGGGGCTGGGAGCAAAACAAGAGGTGAGAACAGTGAGTGCATCTACATTGTAGAATTAATGCAGTTTGACATCACTTCAACTGCCATGGCTCAGTGCTATGGGATCCTGGGAGTTGTAGTTTGTGAGGCATAACACTCTTTGGCAGGGAAGTATAAAGACCTTGATGTTGAGTTGGTGATGATGATATAGTATTTTAGAGTTTGTGTTAAAGCTTAAATGGAATTATTATTATTATTATTATTATTATTATTATTATTATTATTATTCTCTGATGGAAGTTGACTGGGACCTGTTAAAGAGAGCACAACCTAGTAAAGGTAGATCCAAGCTATGGCCACAAAACTGGGTTTTAAACTCCTCGATTTGACCGTTGTAGCTGAGGCTCTAAATTCATGCCTTTGCAGCTGCTTGTATTTTACTACAGGTTAAGAAAAACTATGTCTGAAGGCAACTGCTGTTAGACAGTATGAGAAAAAACCAAGCAGGAATTTTGGTCAGCTGCCCACACTATAGCAGGCTAGAAGCCCAAGGCTCCCACTCCAGCTTTTGGACAAGAATAATGTTTTTATTCTAGACTTACTCATCCAAAGTAACATTAACCAACAGTTTCTAAGTAGATCAACATCACTCCCACCACAGCCAAACCCTCCTATTGTCCCAGTTTTCAGGGATGGCCCCAGTTTGGCTTCTGCTGTCTTGCTTTTTTTCTTTTTTTTTTTTTGCTGATTTAAAATGGTCCCAGTTTAATTTTCTTCAACCCCCTTTCCCCCTTCATCTCCTGGTTACTTCTGTTGTTACACACTGAGTTCAAAGGACAAAAGTACTTAACGTATTTCACCGCATCATAGTCTCCATCGCATAATAGTTGCACCCCCGTTTCTACATGTTACAATTCTTCACAAGTGCGTCTCTTGTGCAATGCAGCATGGTAGTTTGTATTGTGTTGATTCATCAGGAGGAAAGAGATTGCAAGGAGAAGGATATTTGCTCTTCTCAGTTGGCTCAGGCAAAAGCAAACTGCTGAAGCCTTTTCTAGGATATATCCTCACTGTGGAATTAATGCAGTTTGGCACCACTTGCTATGGGTCAGTGTGATGGAATTATGACAGTTGTATTTTTATAAGGGTCTTGAACCTCTTCCAAAAAGTACTGGTGCCGCACTATATTATAAT